ACAATAACAATAATACTGTATTGCAGACTTTCAATCCTCCCCCTCCCCCTTTTGTTACCAATGCCTACCAAAACGCATTTCAACTAACCTTTTCATATGGTCAAGGACGCTAGGGAAAATTATTTTGATTTTTAGACACCATTGCGGCCAAACACTTCTTTGCTTTGTAATTTAGTTTGCTTTCGCATTGTTCGTTTTGTTTTGTATTTGAGTTAGCTAGCTTGTTCACGCTTTGTTTGAAAACAAAAATGTTGTAATCCGAACAAAAGAAAAAAAAAAAAATAAAAACAAAAACTACAGAGAGGTTGGTTGATGTTTTATCCAACATAATGGGGTTGATTATGATGTTAAAATATACAAACAGACAGACATATATGTATTTATATACCAATTTATAATATTTTTTTGGCATTCTATTGTTTGTCGTTATCCTACAAACAGCGCCAGAATGCCGGGCAAATAATTATCTGACAATGATATATTGCCGAATATTATGGTGAAAAAAATTTCTTTATACTCTGACGAAATTGATCGAGGGGATAATCTATGGGGGTCATGAGAGACATTGAGAGAGTCCAGGGATAGATGTACCAAGGGTTTTTAGAAATGCGAACTTTAAGGTTACGAAAAATTCTGAAGGTGGCTAAATGGTACTAAATTTGGAACAGTTTGGTTTAGGGAGAATGGATGAAGCAGGGATTTTTAAATTTTGTATTGACGTCGCTATTAGGGATAGGTTTGTAAAGAAGAGTTGGTTTTGGATATGTGTTCTACAAGTGCACGAAAAGTACTAAAATATACTATATTTAGTACAATTTGGTATTGGATGAACAGATAGTGTTTGAAATCGTAAATTTGGTATTAGGGTCGCTGTTCATGTGTTGCCTGACATATGGAGATGATTTCGGAAAGGTGTACCATAATTGTATGAAAAGTACTAAATGGTACTATATTTGGTATTGGGTGAAGGGACAGAGATAAAATTCTGAAATTTAATATTTCGATTACTATGGGTATCTGTGTTTCAGAAATATGTGTTTTGGAAATATGCCCTTTATTTCTACGAAAAGTACTAAATGGTACTAAATTTGGTATTGGGTAAAGGGATCCGACTGGAATCTTCAAAGTTTAAATTAAGGTCCCTATTAGTACCTGGAATTGAGATATGGAGGTGGTTTCGGAAATGTGTACAATAGTTGCAGGAAAAGTACTAAATATTACTAAATTGGGTGAAGGGGTCCTTCTGGAATCCTCCAATTTGAAATTCAAGTCTGTTTTATTATCTGGAATTGAGATTTGGCAGTGTTTTGTAAATATGTCCTATGTTGGTACGAAAAGTACTCATTGTTACCAAATTTGGTATTGGGTGAAGGGGTCAGGCTGGAATCCTCAAATTTGAAATTGAGGTATCTGGGATTGAGATATGAAGGTGGTTCCGGAAATGTGTACTATAGTTGTAGGAAAAGTACTAAATAGTACTAAATTGGGTGAATAGGTCCTTCTGGAATCCTCCAATTTGAAATTCAAGTCTGTTTTATTATCTGGAATTGAGATTTGGCAGTGTTTTGAAAATATGTACTATATTTGTACGAAAATTACTAAATGATACTAAATTTGGTATTGGGTGGAGGGGTTAGGCTGGAGTCCTCAAATTTGAAATTAAGGTCTCTATTGGTATCTGGGATTGAGGTATGTAGATAATTTCCGAAATTTGTACTATAATTGTACTAAAAGTACTAAATAGTATTAAATTTGTCATTTGGTGAAGAAATACAGTCGTAATCCTGAAATTTTGATATTGATGCCATTGTTGGTATCTGTGGTTAAGATATGGAGGTGGTTTTGCAAATGCGACCTGTATTTCTATGAAAAGTATTAAGGGTTACTAAATTGAGTATTGGGTAAAATCTTACAGCCAAAAATTCTAAATTTTGGTATCGAGGTCACTGTTGGTGTATGTAGTAGGTAGTTTCGGATATTCGTAGTATATCTCTACGAACAGTATGGTAGTAAATATGGACTTCGGTTTTAGGGTAGAGTTGGAATTCTGAAATTGGATATGGAGGCCACTTTTGGTATATTGTTTTGAGAGAAGGAGGTGGATGTGGGAATGCGTACTATGATTGTTCGAAGAGTGCTAAATGGTAATAAATTTGTTGAGTGAATAGATAGATCTCGAAACCTGAAATTTGATATTGATTTAGACATAGTGGTGCTGACCAATTTTTATACCCTCAGCCATATGGCCACAGACAGAATATACCATTTGATATGGCCAAAAGGTTCCTCATTGAAATAACGGTTTTAGACCCGTTTCAGGACATTTGGAGTCGATCTAGGTTTGTCCCTCCGTCCGTCTGTCTGGCTGGCTGTTGCGCATGATAACTCTCGAAGGGAGTATCCGATTTGATCCAAACTTGGTACATCGTAATAATTTTATTAACCTAGATCGAGTTCGTTCTGGTACCTCCCTTACGAAAGATCAATATTTTAACAAAAAATAATTTACCTCATCGAAAGAGAAAGGATCATTCAATTTTGTCCAAACTTTGTAAATCCCAATTTTTTTGTCAGTGCGAAAATGGGCAACATAGGCCCGACCCATCAAGGACATCCCACACAAAGGGTCTATATTTGGAATAATTATAACTCTTATAAATTCCTAGTTTTTTTACCAACACAAGATCTAGTATGAAGATGAAAAATATCGAACCACTAATTCTGGTACCTCTCACACAAGGGTTCAACATTTTGAATAACTATTTCTCTCATGAAATGCGAAATAAGCACTCGATTCTTTTTATATTTCACACAACTTAATATGTTTATAAAGAAAAAATTTGGTGTGAAGATGGAATATATCGGTTCATTCCTTGCGGCACCTCCCCCACAACGGTCCACAGTAATTATCTCTCATAAAATATAAAATAAGCGTCAGATTGTCTATAAATTTCAGACATCGCAATATTTTTACTAACACAAGATCTGGTGGCAGAAGATGGATATATGGGCCCACTCATTCTGGTACCTCCCCCACTACGGGTCAAAATTTTTAATAATCGCTAATAAAATGTGAAATGAGCATCAGAATTTTTTATAAATTCTCACATCCCAATATTTTTACTAACACGTGATCTGTCGTGAAGATCGTAGATATCGATCCCATCTTTCTGGTACCTTCCCCCACAATGGAGTCAACATTTTGAATAACAAAACGTTCATAAACGTGACATATCCATCCGATTCTTCTCGTACCTCCCCCACAAAGTACCACAATTTTCAATACTTATATCTCTCATAGTTTGCGAAAAAAGTCAAAGTTTTTTTTTAAACTTGGTGCCTTCTAATATTTTTCTCACCCAGAGATCTGATGTGAATATGGAATTTATCGACTCACTCCTTGTGCTACCTTCCCCACAAAAGTTCAATATTTTGATTATTGGAATAAAATTGGAAATAAATGTTTATTTTTTTTTAAATTTTGCACTTACCATCATTTTTATCAATATGAAGTACTTTGGTCCGCTATATAATGTGGAACCTCAGGTATGTTTCAAAATTTTACAAAAATTATGACTTATCTTATAAATTGTGATGAAAATTGGCACACTCCTTCAGAACCACCACCATAAAGGGTCAATAGGTTGAACAATCATAAGGCAAGGCTGAGGCTATACATTTGTTGGCAAAACCGACTGATACCTTTTAACTTGTTTAAATACTAGAATTGCATTTGTGTTTAATTTCGCCACCTTTGAGCTTTTGGTCAATATTTTGGTTTGCCTAATGTTGGGCTTGAACTTGCGATCTTCGGACGTGTAGTTAGGCACACCATGAACTCACAACTTGATGTGGATCGACAAATTTTTTGTGGTTTCTGATTTTTTTATACCCTCTACTAATTATTATTTACCTTTCTGGTAATTCAAATTGTATGCAGTTGTCATTACCAGTCGGGCTAAAAGTGGCACATGTGCCTACCAAACCTTTACTGTGTAGTTACATGAACCATATCTTAATAAGCCTTTTCCAATGGTTCCATATCATTTAATGCTAATCAATTCTTTAATAGATTTATTATACGCTCTCATAATATTTACAGATAGTGACAAAGTTGCGTTTACATTAGCAACAACACCAATAAATTCGTTAAATATATTTACCTCCCAACCTTATCTCGCTCGCCTGCCTCAAAATATTTACCACCCTGGGACTTATCGCCCTTTTTAGAAAAAAACAGGCATCAACACCAGGTTTTGCCATTCTCATGTCAGACAAAATTAATTGACCCAAGCAAACAAACAAATCGACTCACACACACAGACCCAGACCCATACACTCAGATTCTCACACCGATATTCTGATGATAATAACCCAATTTTTGCTGATCCGTAGCAGAACATTTTTTTGTGATCATGATTTGCGAATGTGAACGTGAATGTAATTTGCTTGTCTTTTATTTATTTATTTTTTGTTGTTGGTGCGAGAGTGGGCCAGAGCGATTAATTTTATTTTATTTTGATTGCCATAGACCATAATTTGATTACAAAACATACACACGCACACATACCCGCATACATGTTTACAAATCAAACTGCACTATGTGTATATTTGTACGTACGTAGATATGTTTCATCAGCCGGCAATTGCTATCACCAACGAAAAAAAAAAGAATCAACAATAATAACAACAACAATATTTTTCATCACAAAGTCATAAACATCTTCATAGAGCGGCAGCAGCAGCGGCAGTAGTAGAAGCATCTCATCGGTAGTCCTCGCTAGAAGCTGGCAGTGAAAACATTTAGGAAGCAAAAAAAATATATTTTTAACAATGAATTTTAATAGCTCCGATTTAATGGAGAATACTCCGACTTTTGAAAAGCTCTATCAAAGTTTCCACTCATACGAAGAAGCGAAAAGTATTTTCCAGAAAGAAATTGTAATTTTTTTCGATGGGCTAGATATTAATCGTTATTATTTTTTGGTTTATTTTTTCAGGAAGTGATTCACCTTTGGCCGGTGCTGTTGCTGCGGGCCAGCTACAACCACCAAAAACACCCGGCGCCCTCGATGAGGCCACTGTCGATGATGTCTTGCCAAATGAGATTTCCGCACCATACGAAGTTCCACAATTTCCCATTGAGCAGATTGAAAAGAAACTACAAATACAGAGACAACTTAATGTCCGGTAAGTAGAGGAATGTTAAAGAAAAACTCCAGACCGAAGAATTTTAAAAGAATTTAAAAAAATCACAAGGGTTAGAAGTTCTCAAAAAGAAAGAAAAAACATGTTGACACAAAGCAACAAAAAAGAAAAAATACCGGAAAACCAGGTCGATTTTGAAAATAGAGCTAAAAATAGAAGACACATTTATCGGAGTTTTGAAAGTTTAAATTGCAACCCTGTAGGAAATACGTATTGATTTAAATAATGATGATTTAAATAAGTGCTGATTTACTATTGACTTTATCACCAGTACTACTTACCAAGTGTGGATAAGTAATGATTTTTCTTCTCGACTTTTGTACTCAGAAGTCTCTAGTGACATGGTCAGTACCTCTTAAGCGGCATATGGAGACATTGTAACTAATATTAAAAATTGAACTATTGATTTGTCACCAGGACATGATCAGTATTATTTAGACAGCCAATGTTTTTTTATACCCTCAGTCATATGGATACAGAGGATATATATCATTTGATATCGATACTATCCAAACGTGCCTATTCAGGCTCCTATTCAAGAATTTGCTAAAATTGCAATTAAAGATCCTATTATTAAAATAGTTAAAAATATAATTTTTGATGAATTATTAAAAATTAAAAGATAGGTCCTAATCCTTTTTTAGACTCTCTTTGGGCCAAATCTGTTGCAGGACATTTGGAGTCGTTCGTCCGTCTGGCTGGCTGATTGGTATGCACGATAACTCTCGAAGGGAGTATACATCGTAATATAATTATCAAACTTAGATCGAGTTCGGAAATTGATAATAGTGGTCCAACCCTTCTCGTACCTCGCTCATAAAAGGTTACAAGTTTCATAGAAAATAATATACCTCATAGAACAAGAAAGGATCATCCAATTTAGTTCAAACTTTGCAAATTCGAATATATGTATTGGGGTTATGTCAGGTGGGAAAATGGACCCACTCCATCAAATACCTCCCCCATAAAGAGTCCCCCATAAAGGGTAAAATAAGAGTTCAATTGTCTTCAAGTTTCGCGCATCTGAATTTTTTTACCATCCTAAAATATGGTATGAGATGTAATATATCGGACCACTTCTTCTGTTATCTCCCACACAAGGTGTCAAAAGTTTGAATAATCATATCCCTCATTAAAAATAAGTATCCAATTCTCTTTAAATTTCGCACATCTCAATATTTCTACTGGCGAAAAATCTGGTGTGAAGGTGGGATGTTTCGGTCCAGTCCTTTGGGCACATCCCTCAAAAAGGCATCAAAGGGGTCAAAATGTTAAATAATTATATCTCTCATAAAATGTGAACTAAGCATCTCATTCCATCTAAACTTCCCACTATCAAATATTTATACTAACACAAGTTATGATATGAATATGATAGATATCGGATTACCCCTTCTGGTACCTTCCCCACAAAGAATCACAATTTTCAAAAGTTTTATCTCTCACAACCTTTGAAACAAGTCAAACAAACACGCATATCGTATAGTATCATATAGTCGGCCCGATCCGACTTTTAACCTTACTTTACTGCTTATTTCTGTTCCCTTCTGTTCATCAACAACCCATTGGTTTTATATCTTGTTTTTAATAAAGGCCTAAACCTTTTTCTAAGTTTGTATTTATATCCATTTCTATGCCATAATCGTTACGCGTCCTGCCATGGTTTCGACATTTCTTTAACCTTTCGTCAAATTGGCGATTTCCTTCATTGCGAAGATTAACAAAATGTATGGCAAGAGGAAAAATAAATATCATTGTTGTCATTTTGTGACAGCGATATTTTTATGAATGGCGGCGGCAGCAAAGGTTCTTCGTGATGGCGGTCCGTCCGTCGTTCACATGAATTAAAATATTCCGTGTTTTGGTTAAAATCCCCATTCATCCATTTTACCTATTGCACATGGTCTTGCTGGTTTTTAACCATTGCAGAGGCAGCGGCAGCTGTCCGCTTTGAGACCTCCGGTGTGCGTTTGGGGAAAATGGCCAAACATGCCAAAGCCAAAAGAGAACAGTTTAGGCCTCCCAATACCACCAGCGCAAGCAGCGATGTAAAGTGTCAATTGTTTCAGCGTTTTTTTATTTCATTTCATTTTTTTTTTTGCGCCAAACACCTTTCTAATACAATTAGTTGTCTTCGCACTCAGTACCATATTCGGCCTGCAGGCGGGCTTGTCAATACATTTTCATTTTTGCCAGTTTTAGTTACAATTGTTCTTTCTCTGGTAAAAATTAACGCAGTCAATTAGTTGATTTCGCTCATATATTTTGAATTTATGCTCAAGTGGTAATAAATAAAAATTAATCGGAGAAAGTAAATTAAAGAAAGAAAAAAAAAATATTGATTGGGTCGGATATCTTGGCATGTTTTTGAAATATTTATTATTTCAATTTTTTTATAAAAATTAATTTTGTGTATAACTCGGAGAAAAGTATCTAATGTAATTATGCGTAAACTGTGCGTGATATAAGCAATAATACATTAGCGACCGGTTTTCCTTTTCTTGAGAATTTTGAAATGTTTTTAAGTGTTTCTACGGCTACAATAACGCTAATATGTGACCGCCTATTCCGTAGTCGTTGTAAATCAAATTATAATAGATGTTACATAAAGAAAGCCGTGGAATAGTGATAAATTGTGATTTACAGTGAAGAACAAAAGTGTGTGTACATATTATTGCCTTTCGAAAATATGGGATTAAAACCAAAAAGAAAAAAATTCAAATCAATCATAAATTTTGTCACATATTGTTCAACATAAATTTTTTTAATAATTCTGTAAAAATAGTAAAAAGATACAAAAGTTTAAAAAAATCAAATTTGACAAATGTAAAAAAAGATACCTAAATTTCGGACGAACCAATCATATGAGACCCTACTCAATGAGGAAATGAAAACATTGGGAAATATACCGGCATACATTCGTTCAAAATGTTTTATAAAAAATTAAAAAAAACATTAATTTCGGCCGAATCGAACTTTTAATACCCTCCATCTTAGGGTTAAGGAAACATTAGAACCCATTATGACCCATAAATACCAATTTAAGACATATTCGTGGGAAAATGTGGCAAAAATTATCAAAATACCGAATATCAGGAGGTACGGCTATATGGGGCTATACAAAAATGTGGGCCTATACATACAATGTTTCGCCAACGGAGCTAGAACCTATTAGGACCCACAAATACCAATTTTTAGACAAATCCGCGAAGAAAAGTGGGAAAAAATAAAAATACCGAATATTGGGAGGTATCGTTATATGGGGGCTATATTAAAACGTGGGCCTATACATACAATGTTTCGCCAACGGAGCAAAAACCTATTAGGACCCACAAATACCAAGTTTTAGACAAATCCGCGAAGAAATGTGGGGAAAAAACATAAAAATACCGAATATTGGGAGGTATCGTTATATGGGGGCTATAACAAAACGTGGACCTATACATACAATGTTTCGCCACCGGAGCTAGAACCCATTATGACCAACAAATACCAATTTTTAGACAAATCCGTCAAAGATGTGACAATAACCATCAAAATACCGAATATCGGGATGTACCGTTATATGGGAGCTATAACAAAACGTGGACCTATACATGCAATGTTTCGCCACCGGAGCTAGAACCCATTATGACCAACAAATACCAATTTTTAGATAAATCCGTGAAAAATGTATCAAAAATCATCAATATACAGAATATTGGGAGGTACTGTTACATATATGACCTACAAGTACCATCATCAAGATACAGAATATCGGGAAGTACCGTTAAATGGGGTCTATACCAAAACGTGGACCGATACATCTCATTTTCAATAACAACCATCCTAGACACAATACAAATTGTTCTGCTAAATTTTGAGCTCTAACGTGGTTGTGATTTCAATTGACAGACAGACAGGCAGACCGACGGACATCGTTAAATCGACTTAAAATTTTATGCTGATTCTGAATATATATACTTTATGGGGTCTACGACGAATATTTAGGGATGTTACCTTTCCAAGGTGGAGGGTATAAAAATGTTTAATGCCTCACCATAGAATGGAGGCTATATTAAATTTGTCATTTCGTTGGTAAAACTGTTCGACACCTTTTGATGTAAATATATTCAATTTTAGAGTAAAATTCTATGTCGGTTCAGCCATGTCCGTCGGACCATCTGTTCGTCCTGAGAAATATGGAATTAAAAGCAGAAAAAAAAACAGGTTAAAAAGTATCATTCCGATTTGCCGATAGATGTATATTCTCAGCCGAAGTGAGATTATTAAAATATTTTTGGACTTCTGTTACGACTATTCATGTAGTTGACCCTCTATAGAGTAGTTTCCGAAGGAATGGGCCAATATTGCCCATTTCGCATCGGACCTAAATAAATATGATATAAATATTACGACGTGCCAGATTTGAATTATATAGCGACTACTTCCTTCTCTTTATATGAGATATGTGATATTTAGAAAATGTTAAAATATTCGTGAGGTACCAGATATAGTCGACCGAAGTGTTCCATTTTCATACCTTATATAATACAGGTAAAAATGTTGGCATGTCCTAATTACAAGAAAATCGAACATTTATATTCAATTTTATGCTAATTCATAAATTCCATATTCTTCTCCGGTTTCTGGTTGAGAGAAATATTTAAATATAGCAAGTTGCTAAGAATCGCTGACTTTTTCCCGCAAGTTATGACAGATAAAGGTATTGAAAAATTTGACCCATTGTGGATGTGGTACCAGAAGGGGTTCACTGACTTCACAACAGATCTTGTGTCAGCAAAAATGTATGAAATTCGAAGAGAGTTGGATACTTATTTCGCTTTCTTGATGCTTATTTCGGATTTTATGATCGTTCTGGTTTTTCAAAACTTTGATCCTTTCTGGGGGAGGTACCAGAATAAATGGTTCGATCTGTACCATCTTTATAACAGATCTTGTGTTAATGAAAATATTGAGATTTACCAAGATTGAATGGAATCGGATATTAATTTCGCGTCCCTTTGTGGGGGAGGTACCAAAAGGAGTGTACCGATATATTCCATCTTCACATCAGACCTTGGATTAATAAAAATATTGTCACGTGTGCAATTTGAAGAGATCCTAATGCTTATTTCAGATTATTATCGTTTTGGTTATTCAAAATTGTAACCCTTTTTGGGAGAGGTACCAGAAGGAATTGGCCGATCTCTACCATCTTTTTAACAGATCTTGTGTTGATGGAAATATTGAGATGTGTCAAGTCTTAATGGAATCGGATGTTAATTTCGCGTTTTATGAACTTCATGGATACTCTAAATTTTGACCCCTTGGAGTGTGCCAATATATTCCATCTACACACTCGACCTTCGGTTAATAAAAATATTGTGATATGTGTAATTTGAAGAGAACCGGATGCTTATTTCAGATTTTATGATCGTATTGGTTATTCAAAACCTAAACCCTATGTGGGGGAGGTACCAAAATGAAAGGTCCGATTTCTACCATTCTTATAACAGATCTTGTATTGATAGAAGTATTGGGATGCGCCAACTCTGCATGGAATCGGATGTTAATTTCGTGTTTTATGAGCTTCATGAATATTCAAAATTTTGACCCCTTGTGGGGGAGGTACCGGAAGGAATGGACTGATTTATTCCATCTTCATAGCAGGTATTGTGTTAGTAAAAATAATGTAGTGTGTGAAATATGAAGAAGATCGGATGCTTATTTAGGATTTTATAATCGTTTTGGTTATTCAAAACCTAGACCCTATGGGGGAGGTACCAGAAATAAATGGTCCGATTTCTACCATCTTAATAACAGATCTTGTGTTGATCAAAATATTGAGATATGTCAAGTCTGAATGGAATCGGATATTAATATCGTGTTTTATGAGCTTCTTTGATATTCAAAATGTTGACCCTTTGTAGGGGAGGTACCAAAAGGAGTGTACCGATATATTCCATCTTTACACCAGACTTTCGGTTAATAAAAATATTGGGATATGTGTAATTTTCAGATAATCAGACATATTCAAAATGTTGACCTTTTGTAGAGAAGGTACTTGTTGAAGTGGAATCTGACCTAGCACTGATGCATATATTGGGATTTGCAAAGTTGGAACAAAATTGGATTATCCTTTCTCTTCCTGTGCAGAAAATTATTTTCTTTGAAAATTTTTACACTTTGTAGGGAAGGTACCATAATAAGGGGATCGATATTGCCCATCTCCGAACACGATCTAAGTTTGGTAATAATAATACGATGTACCAAGTTTGCACCAAATTGGATAACTTGGTCCAAAGAGACCTAGGTTCTAAAACCGTTATTTCAATGAGGCACGTTTTGTCTGTATCAAATTATATATACCTTCTCTAGCCATATGTCTGATAACCACCACCATATGTGGTGAAATGCAGTTAACTCAGAGAGGACCGGATTCTGAGAGGGGAAATTGATGCATTTGGGTAAAAAGAAGTGGTGCTGAGAAACCGCAAATACAAAAATAGCGTTTCCAGAACTACAAAATGGGTTGGCTTGAAAGTTGAGATAAGGTTTTTGCAAGTTTTCAAAAGTTCTAAAAAAATTTTAATTTTGCTAAACAAATCTGAAAAAAAAAAAAAAATAAAACAAAATGCAAACAAAAACAGATCACACACGCGTCTCATTTATTTCGAACTGACATTTATTTTCGTATCGAATCCAAGCGAACTGCAATCATTTTTAATACGGCCAAAATAATAAATAACCAATAACGTCTGGTGTCATCATGAACGCAAAACAGCAAACACAACAACACCAAAAGAGAGAACCACTTGCTAATATCGAATCTATTTTTATCGCGGGGGTGAAAATATTGAGTTAATAAAAAAGAAATATTTAAATATTTTGCTAAATTGCGCTTGCATTGCATTGCTTCGTAAGCAAATATTGATAAATGATTCACAAAAGGTAGTGAAAAAAGTACAAAATTAAATAAAAATATATTTTTAAAAATTGAAAATTTACGATATTTTATTTGAAATTACGTCAATATAATTTATCAATATTTTTAGAAAAAAAAAATTAAAAATTGGAAATTTAAGTTTTTTTTTGAAATTATTTGTAATAGTTTTTTTATACCCCCAGCCATATGGCTAGAGAGGGTATATATAATTTGATACAGGCAAAACGTGCCTCATCGAAATAATGGTTTTAGACCCTAGGTCTCTTTGGAGCGAATCCGTTTCAAGACATTTGGAGTCGATTTAGCGATGTCCGCCCGTCCGTCTGTCTGGTTTGATCCAAACTTGTTACATCGTAATATTATTGTCAAGTTCCTTTTAGTACCTTCACCACAAAATGTCGCTATCTTCAAAGAAAATATTTTATTGCACAGAAAGAGAAAGGATAATCCGATTTTGCTCCAAGTTTGCAAATATTAATATTTGCATTGGTGCTAGGTCAGGTCCGAAAATGGAAAATATCGGTCCACTCCTTCAAGTACCTTCCCCACAAAAGGTCAAAATTTGGAATAATTATAACTCTTATAACAGTTGATGTTAGTGTCCGATTGTCTTAAAATTTCAGACATCCCAATATTTTTATTAACTGAAGGTCTGGTGTGAAGATGGAATATATGGGTCCACTCCTTCTGGTACCTCCCGCGCAAAAAGGCCGAAATTTTCCAAAAAATATATTTTTTGCACAGAAAGAGAAACGGTAATCCGATATGGCTCCAACTTTGAAAATATTAATATTTGCTTTAGTGTTAGGTCAGGTGAGAAAATGGAAAACATCTGTCCACTCCATCAAGTACCTCCCCCACAAAGGGTGAACATTTGGAATAATTGATGTGATGTAAGTGTCCGATTGTCTTCAAATTTTACATATCCCAATATTTTTATTAGCCCAAGGTCTGGTGTGAATATGGAATTTATCGGTCCACACCATCAAGTACCTCACCCACAAAGGGTCAAATTTTTGAATTATATCCATGAAGCTCATAGAACGCAAAATTAACCTCTGATTCCATTCAAACTTGTCACATCTCAATATTTCTATCAACGCAAGATCTTTTATAAAGAGATCGAGATCGAACCATTCCTTCTGGTACCTCCCCCACAAAGGGTCAAAGTTTTGAATAATCAAAAATAATAATGAAAAATAAAACTTGAAAATAACGTCCGATTTCATTCAGACTTGACACATCTCAATATTTCCATCAACACAAGATCTGTTATAAAGGTTGTAGAGATCGGACCATTCCTTTTGGTACCTCCCCCACAAAGGGTCAAAATTTTGAATATCAATGGCGCTCATAAAACGCGAAATTAACATCCGATTACATTCGGACTTGGTACGCTCAAAAAAAAAAAAAAAAAAAAAATAAGCATCCAATTCTCTTCACATTTCACACATACAAACATCTTTGCTAAAGCAGGATCTGTTGTGAAGATGATATACATCTGCGAACCCCTTCTGGTACCTCACCCACAAAGGGTCATAACTTTCAATACTTTTATGTAAATATTTCTCTCAACCAGAAACCTGAGATAAATATGAAACTTATGATTTCGCCTAAAATTGGATACAAATGTCTGATTTTCTTGTAATTTGGTCACGCCAATATTTTATCTGTATTAGAAAAATTATGGAAATTTAATATTTCGTCCGACTATATCAGGTAACTCACCCACATTTCAACATTTTTTAAAAATTATTACATATTTCATTTAAAGTGAAGGAATTAGTTGAGCTAGTCCAAACATGGCACGTCGCAATATTTATATCACTTTTATTGAGGTCCGATACGAAATGAACTATATTGGGATTACTTCGGCATGTACTCCATCGAGGGTCAACAATTTGAGCAATCACAACAGAAGTCAAAATATATTTTAATGATCGAACATTAGCTGAGGGTATATATCTGTCGGCAAAACCGTCTGATACCTATTAACTTGTTTTTTTTTTACTTTTAAAATTTGGCTTTTTGTAAAGATGCCAGATTTAAAAATTATAGTAAAGGATATTTTTGGAAATATTGAAATTGCTATGGTATTTCTGAATTTATTCCAATTTTCCCCCACATCATTTCTTTAAAAAATGTATTCATTGCTTTGGTATTGTCAAAAATAATTAGAAGGATATTAAAATAGAATAAAATTATTGTGTAATAAATGAAGACATATCTTCTGCCAATGGGCAATAAATATTGACACTACTCCCGCTTTTCCCCTCCGACACCAACAAAGTGGCAATAAAACTCAATTTAAGTGACACGTGTTTTTTGGGCATAATTTTATTGGACTTTCATCGATATTTCGTGTGGTTCGGTCAAAAAAAAAAGTAATCAAGATAAATGTTGTCATTACCCGCAAAATAATAATTGAATAGTTATCGAAAACGCTCAGCAATGTCGTTTCGGGATGACTGTTACACGTTTCAAAAGATAACCAATGGGAAAAGGTAAACATTGCCCTTTTCAACCTTTAACCTTTATCATTTGACCTCATTTTAAAACATTTTTTTATATACAAAAGATTTTGTAAATATTTTATTGAAAATTTTCTCGATTTTAAAAAACTGAATTTTTCAAATCTTAACCTTTAAGAAATTCCTAAAAAATTAAATTTTGTAATATTTTGTTTTAATTCTTCAAATATTAAACGCCAGCACTCTCTCTTTTTTATTTCAATTAAAAAACATTAATAGCATTTTCCCTCTGCCTCTCTTTCCAGTGCCATGACCGATAAGCATTCGATACAGGGTGACACAACCGATGATACCATAAATGTCTTGGATCATGATTTGATACCAAATTTCCAACGTGTCTCCATTTCCGGTGAGGATACCAGCGGTGTGCCTTTGGAAGATTTAGAAAGAGCTTCCACTCTCCTCATCCAGGCACTGGAAATGCGTTCACGCTACATGTCCATCTCGGAGCAATCGTTTCCCACTACCACTCTACGTTTCCTGAAGACCGTACACGAAAGTGATCGTTTCAATAAAATCCAATACGAAGATCGTAAATCCATTGCCGGTAAGTTCAATTTCAATTCTATTTTTGATGTTGTATTCTTTTTGATGGTTTCTTTTATTTACATATATTTATTTATTAATTTATATACATATATTGAAAGTTTTATTACTTCGATTTACTTGAAAATTTATTTACTTAAATCTTTTTCCAAAAATAAAGGCTAAATATTTGTACATTTTTTTTATAATTTTTTCTTTTGATTTTTTTTTATTTTAATTTTTTTCTTCACCAATTATTCACCACTTTTTTATGGTTTGTACAGCAATTGTTCGGTTATTGAAAGAGGGAGATGTGTTTGGAATTTAAATTGTCAAATGTAAATAGCACTTGGATTCTTTATCACTGAGACTTTGTAAATATTAGATGTTGTGTGTCTTAGTATATAAGAATAAGCTTCTGTATAAAATATTTAAATTTTTTATGTAAAAAATTGAGGTAATTATGAAATTATTCCCTTTTAAATTTTTTAAGACTTTTTAAAATTAAACATGTTTCCTAAGAATGTGGTTCTGGATTGATAGTTTTACTCTGACCCACACTCAGCTTTATTGTGTAAAAAACCCAGAAGTTATAAAGCAAATTGGGTGCTACCATGGTAGACTTGCAGCCACTAGCAACCTAAAATGCTACTTAAACGTTGAAACGAATCCGCCTCTCTGTTGGTATTACGATATCTTCGGAACAAGTTGATCTGGAAAATATCTGTCTTTTATGAACAGTTCAATTTAAAAATTGGACTTGTATCGGTACCCCTTATAGTATGAAGGGTATATTAAGATTGTCATTCCATCTGAAACTTATCGAAATAATAATTTTAGACCCAACAAAGCATATATACAGGGTGATATGAAAAAATTACAAACGACTTAAGACTGTTGTCATTTCTAAGTAACTCGTCCGACAGCTGTTAATATTACTCCAGTGAGAGCTCATTATAATATTTACAAGCGTACAAAAGCATTTTACTGGTAGCGTAGTCCGACGTCAAGAAAGTGGACATCAGTAGAAATGGTCCGAAAAGTAAAGAAGTGACTTGATCGAAACCCGCGTAGCAGTGGCCGAAAAATGGCTCGTGAGCTGAACATATCGCAATATTCCATTCGGTAAAAAATGAAAAATGAGCTCGGGGTAAAACCATTGAAATTCCAAAAAGTGCAAAAACTTACACCGCAACAGAAAGAAAATAGGCTCAAAAGAGCTAAAGAGTTCCTTCGCTTGGCCGAAAGTGGTGAAGTGCCGAGTTTGGTTTTCTCCGATGAGAAAACATTCGTTGTTCAGCAGTTTGTAAACAAACAATATTATCGAGTTTACTTGCCAAAGAGGTCAGCTGAAAATGTGCAACTTCGGTTGGCCATCAGAACTAAAGCGCTGGCAATGGTGATGGTGTGGACCACTATGACATCCGTTGGTCGCTCTCCGCTTGTATTAATCGACCGTGGCATCAGAATAAATGCCGAATGTTATCGCGAAACATTTTGAACGCAGACCTTAGCCATTCCAACAGGACTCAGCACCATTGCACTCAGCACAATAGTTACAATATGAGGTTCCTCGCTACATTTCCAGCGCACAATGGTCATAAAAATCTCCGGATACCAATCCGTTGGACTATTGCGTCTGGAGTATTTTGGAAAGCAAGGTTGGCATTAAAAATACCAAAGTGTCGATCACTTCAAGCAAGCGCTTCGTCGGGAATGGGCCAAAATACCGCAGAGCAACATTCGGACAGCGTGTGACGGTTTCATTGGCCGTTTTAAGGTCATAATTCGTGCCAAAGGTACCCAATTCGAACAAATCTAAACTTATTCTAAAATTTGATGCTATTCCCGACATTTTTGCTTTAATTCAATAAAATTTAAAAATAATGTAAAAATTATGGCTTTTGACTTTGTTGCAGTTTTTTTATCTCACCCTGTATTCAAGACAACATAGTAGTCAGCTAGGGAATAATTTCATAATTACTTTGCATATAATAATATTAAAATTAATGTTGTAAGAATAAAATCACATGCTATGGCTATAACCGATTGTTATTGCACTAATTTTGATTTTTTTGGTAATATTGTTTGCTATATTTCTAATAATCAAATATGTTAGATAGGTATTTCGCTTTCTTAATGTTTAAGTGTTTCAGAAGTCTTCAAATATTTGTAATTTCTAGATTGCTTGTAGGAGTTTTACACGTTTTTTAGATCCGGGGTATTCAAAACAATATCATGCGAAAGTTGTTGGCCATTTTACAACTAAATATTATCCAATGGTTATGCAAAATACTAGACTTCTTCCTTTTCCTTAATTCTATTCTCAAAATTTTAATTTTATGTTAAATTTGAACCCTTAAATGTTGCGGGGTGTAGAAAAACTTTACATAATGTACAAATCAAAATTATAAGTCAAATTAAAAAATCGCACGCGATAAAAAATACGACAAAAAATAAAAAAACAAAAACAAAAAATATACACTTATTAATTCTTATATTTTTACGCTATTTTCTTAGATTTTACCATTTTCTGGCTAAAATCTATCAGCATCACTGTAATGGTCAGAAGTGACCTTGTAATGTATTTGTAATTTAGCTGGGATTAAAAATATTCGCGGTTCAGTGGAAAGTTTCGCATTATAATTTATTTTACCCGCTAAATATGGTCCGATAGCCGCCGAAATTGGTAGGCTTCTGCCCAGCTCTAAACTCTAACTCCATACAACAATTTATTGGTTTATAAATGTGGTCTGCAAAACAACCGCAATATTAGGAGATATTTCTGTTTTTGGTGGTCCATTTCAAACCGTAAATATTTTGCGATAGGCTTCTATTCTGACTCTAACCCAATCATCAAATCATTCTCAATTTCGAGAGAATCGGGCCATAACTCCGACCTGCACCAAGATTACAATTTAACATGGACAGACTGACGGACGGACATACATAGCTAGATCGACTCAGCTCGGCGAGATAGGAAAATCCATATATATTTAATGAAGGTTACTCGCAAATGTACCCCCGCTCGAATTTGAGTAGACAGTGCTCGAGGAGGTCTACTTCCAAGGAACACTTAAACATTAATCGGTTTATTTTTTATTTGTAGTACATAGTGATGTTTTTTTAATGTCTCGTCTCTTTGATATTGTGTTCAATTTGCGTACAAACCATAAAAAATAAATAATTTCATTCGGGATAGTAAATTACTAGGGTTTAGATTATGTAAAATAAATTATATAATGGGTATATAATACTCAACTTCGTTAAGGTCAGTTTCCACATCGTGTCAGAGTCATATGTAAAATGACTATGACCCATTTTATAGTTAACAATTTTATAGCAGACTTTAAGGCGAGCCCAAAAATTTTTTAATTAACCTTTTTGGACTATACTCCATAAATGCTCAACATAAATGTTCCGCAATTGTAAAAGGCAATTGTAGATGTAAATAAAAAATAGTTTGAAAATTCTTATTCTTTTTATTTTCGTTCTCATTCGAAAAAAAGTTTTAACCCTTCATTTGCTTTCATTTCTAAGAAAGTGATTTCTGAGATTCTCGGGACTTTGTCATATTTGTAATTTAGGAAAATATTGAACTGCTTAATTTCGTTATTGCCAACGTCCTGGCATTTAAGAATTTCCCATTTACGGAGCTCATAAGGATTGTCGTAACTTTGTTTTTTACCTTCGAATGTGCTGTGTAAATCAAAATGAATAAAAAGTTTATCGGTTTTAATTTTTTTTTAACATTTTTTTCAAGTGAGTCACAATAGACAATTTTCTTAAAAAATCCATTTCATAAATCATAATATTTTCTTTTATTATTTTCTTCTCTTTCCATTATTATTTTATTTATTTTTTATGATTTTATAATTATTTCCTTTCTTGTTTCTGGTACACACCTTGATTTCATTCATTATTCTTTTATAGAATTAATCCGCAAGATCAGTCTACCTATGATCCATTTTCCACCCAGAGGTACAACATGATCTCCTTGTTCACAAAACTGAAAGAATAAGTTTTTGTTTTAGACAATTTTTAAGTTGTTTCTTTAATTGCTTTTGTTTCTTTTGTTGATATTTTGAGTTGTGTTTTCTTTTTTATGTTGAGTTATGATTTTTCTTTTCATCTGCTTTCCTTATATAAAAATAAGAAGAAAAAAACTATGTTTGAAGTTTTTTAAGTGAAATGTGTCTCTTGTGCCTTTAGAATGCTTTTAAATTTGAAAGAGAGATTTTCACAAGTTACAAAAAAAATTTTAAGAAAATTAACAATTTTACATATAGTTATAAAGACATTACAGTTTTCATTACTAGTTGATGAAAACCGATTACAAACTGCATTACTTTGTTTTGATCACCGTTATTGGTTTTAAAATTATGTAAATATGTTGGAACTTGTGAAAGTTTATTTCTTTTCTTCTTTGCTGTTTTTTTTAATTTTTGTTTAATTTTAATTGCCTGCTTTTTGTTAATAGTTCTGTAACACCAGCTGTTTGACAACGCCTTATAAATCACTAAAATACCAATGCTTTTACTGCAGTTTGTTTTTCTCTTGCCCTTTTTGTTATGCCCATTGGGAGGAGAACTTTCGATTTATATTTTCACTCAAATGTACCGATTTGCTGAAGAAAACTTCTCCTCCTTATTTGACACTATCAAAAATGTACACTTGTCCTTAAGAATTCAAAAAAAAAAAAAAAAAACTACAGTCTATTTAAAATTGCTGATAATCTATCAAAAATCCTCCAGAATCGGATTTTCTTCAAAAAGAACCGTTTTGTTTTTTTTTACATTTTTGCTGGACCAACGTCAGTTTTCATGCTGTACTTGAAATTAGCTTTTAAATGAAAAATTCAACTTTTATAAAAAAATATTTTTTGTTTTATAAATCAGAACTTCTAAATGGACTGTAGAAAATAGTTTTAAGTAATAAGTAGAAAATCTTTAAATTCTGTTTCTAAACAATCAGCTCAACCATAATGAACACCTTACACGAAAGGCACAACTGCTACCATTTTGCTTACTTTATCATTATGTAATCTACCCAGATTCATTTTTATGAATTTTTATATTTTTCTTAACCAAAATTCAAAAAGAATCAATTACAAAAATACCCTTATATGAAAATAAAAATACGCCTGACACAAGAAAAAATGATTAGAATCTGTTAGTGGAAAATAAACGCTGGGGTTTGCTCCTAAAATGGCTTTCTTTCACACCTTTGCCCTAACAGACGGAAATGGCTTCCTAGGGTTATTATAAAGAACATTGATGGCACGCGACACCCGATTACGGCACATGTTCCCTGATATAGCTGATTTGAAGTGACCAGTGACTTAACAATCAGAGCGCGAGAAAGCTACAAAAAAGAATTAAAGTAAAAAACTCGGTAGATAACGAAAGCAGACTTACAAATAAAAGCCCCTGTATCGGAGTTCTGAAAGTTCACATCGAAAAGTAAACTCAATGGAGGAGTCCTTTTATTAAAATTTTCGGATTAAGATTCCTTAAATTCCTTACATTTCAAGTATACAGGGTGAGATACAAAAACTGCAAGAAAGTCAAACGCATTTTTTTTTAATTTTAAATGAAAGCCAAAAATGTCGGAAATAGCATAAACTTCTAGAATAAGTTAAGATTTGTTCGAATTGGCCACCTTTGGCAATGAATTATGTCCTTCAAACAGTCAATGAAACCGTCACACGCTGCCCAAATCTTGCTCTGCGGTATTTTGGCCCATTCCCGGCGAAGCACTTGCTTGAGGTGATCGACACTTTGGTATTTTTTAGTGCCATTCTTGCTTGCCAAAATACTCCAGACACAATAGTTCAATGAATTGGTATCTGGAGATTTTGGTGGCTATTGAAGCGATGAACCTCATTTTGTAACCATTCTTGGGTGACTCTGAGTCCTGTTGGAATGTCCGAGGTCTGCGGCCAAAATGTTTGCGTGCCCAAGGCTTTAATACACCCTCCAGAATATTTTCGCGATAATATTCGGCATTTATTCTGATGCCACGGTCGATTGATACGAGTAGAGAGCGACCATCGGCTGTTATGGCGGCCCACACCATCACCATGGGCTGCGCTTGAGTTCTGGTGGCCAACCGAAGGTGCATAATTTCAGCTGACCTCTTCGGCAAGTAAACACGATCATTTTGTTTGTTTACAAACTGGTAGACAATGAATGTTTTATCATCGGAGAAAACCAAATTTGGCAGTTCACCACTTTCGTCCAAACGAAGCAACTCTTTAGCTCTTTTGAATCTATTTTCTTTCTGTTGCGGTGTAAGTTCTTGCACTTTTTGGAATTTCAATGGCTTTACCCCGAGCTCATTGTTCAATATTTGTCGAATGGAATATTAGTGAGCTGTCACCGGAATAATTTTAACAGCTGTCGGACGATTGGCTTAGAATTGACAGCAGTCTAAATTTGGTTTCAGTTTTTCATCTCACCTAAAATGTGAGAATTTCAAGACATCATAAATCTTGCATCCTCTGCTGAGGTCACTTGAAATTATAAACTGTCAACATGGCGCTTTTCGTGTCCTCCATTTTTATCTCTACTTTCATAATCTACTGGACATTTCCTATAATTATAAAAAATAAATTTGTCGGCCAGTGTAATCTATATCATATATAACTTGAAGCAGAAGCTCCTTCGTATCCACTTGGATACCTTAAAGTCGGTTTCCAATTGCCACCTTGAGCCAGTATTCTCGAATAGAAACTTGTTCAGACAGCTAAAAAAATATTTAATAGGCAGTTTGATCATGTCGAGGTTTAGAAGATCAATCGACTAAGATCCACGCAGAGCTCATTCATGTATTTAAAGAAAATCCGTCTTGTCGTCAGAAATTTATCTTGGGTTTGTGGTACATTAATTGAGAACTTTAAGGCTGCTTTAGTATTGACATTGAAGTCTAGAATTCTTTTAATGCTACCTCCAAGGGACTTTGCCTCAGTAGCTCACGAAAAAGTTCAGGATATGAAAGCAATCACGTTTACTCCCGATAAATCTAGTTGTCACCTTTTCTTCAACTAGTGATGCATTGCCTCACAAGCGGTTTGCTTGTGATATTCGTAACTTTGACCCATTGTTTCTTCCCCGACCTTGTCTTCAGAATCCCTATTTGTAATTATAACACTTTCGATTTTAAAGCGGAGAAGTATCTCCTTACTCGACAATGTCGTATTGATATCAAAGGATTTCCGTTTGACTCCAACTAATATCCTATTACAAACCTGGACGACTTACATTACTGAACAGCATTTCACTGCATCAAGACATTTATCTCTGGGGACTATTTTGAAATTTCATCGTTTTAGCATCTCATAAAAAAATACGATTCGAACCTACCTTCTTATCATACATATTATCCTGTACAAAAATATGTCCATTTAACACAAAATGCTATGTTTACAGTCCAAATATTGCGGATTCGACAAACACAAAAGCGACAACAACACACAAACGCATTCAAATCGATTCAAGTGGAATATGGTTATAATAAAAATTCGAAATTATTTTTTTAAAGCAAACATTAAAGATCCAATTTCTCTATGACGATACGAAAGCAAAAGAAATACTCTATTCCAAAAATGTTTTAAAAAATCCTTTTTTTTATTAAAAAAATTTTAAAATCTTATTTGGAGTAGTACATAGTCTATATAATAAGGTCGGTCAGTGTGCTCATCTGACAACTAAGGTTCTTGTCAAAATACATAATTGTGATTTGAAATGCAAAGAGATTCAAATCACAATGGGTTTAAAACTACTAACCTTATTGTCAAAAGTTGTCTTCTTGGCCGACCGTATATAGACCTTGGAATGGTATTTTTTGTTCGCTTTTACTTTCGTATCATTATACAAAAATGGGCCTTAGGATATAATTCCGAAATCCTCCCTATAACCACATTTCACCGTTACTTTGTATGTGAGTTAATTCGTTCGTTCGTTTGTTACATAATTCTTATCCTTTGTTAATTACTTTTTTTCTAATGAAATAAGATTGTTTTTAAGTTAAATAATTCCTTGTCTGTTCTTTCGTCTCTTGAGTAATGGTAAAATAATTTCAACAACAATTTTTTTATTCATTTCATTCGATTTGTTTTCACATGCGTCCGTCCATAATGAAACAACCGAACCGAAAAACAAAAAACAATTTTTGAAACAATGCACTTTGTTACCGAATGCACGAATCCACCAACATCATCATCGTCATCATGCGAACACACACACACATTTGTTTGCGGCAAAACTCTCACATGCGTAAAATGTAGATCATCCCATTCACCCACCAACGGAGACCAGCGATCCCTGGGACATTGAATTTCCAACCGATAAGAATTACAGCATTCGTGCCATTGATGGTGTCTACAATGTTTTTCTCAATGAGGTAAGTGATGCGATCCATGCGTTGCAGGTCCGAATTGGTATTCCAACTTAAGACCTTTTCATAAAAAAGTAATAATTCATTGTATGTTTTTTAGGATTCCCAAGAGCCCATGATCCAGAATTATCCAAAACTTAAGGACTTCTGCAATGACATGCAAATCATGTGCAACATGATTGCCGATGGACCCTTGTGAGTATTGTGAATGCAGTTTTTTATGAATTAATTTTAACTTTGTCCTGTATGCTTTTTCTAGGAAATCATTTTGTTATCGCCGTTTATGTTATTTGTCCTCCAAGTTCCAGTTGCATGTCTTACTCAATGAACTGAGAGAACTGGCTTCTCAAAAGGCCGTGCCACATCGTGACTTCTACAATATAAGGTTTGTATTGAGGAATGAGGGAATGAGCAATTTACAAGAAAAGGAAAGAGAAAATAACGTTAACTCTGTGCAACACATGAAATAAAAGTAGAGCTATAAAAATAAATCCTGGGCTATATTTACATAAGGGCTATATTAAAATGTGGATCTTTATTAAAAAGTAGCGTTTCTACATCATAAGAACTCAAAACAGCAATATTTGGCGATATTAAATGGAACATATAATTAAACGTAAAAAAATGTCCTGATTCGAAACTATGAGAAGTAGCAGACTGACATGACCTATTTTATAAATCAATGATTTTTTAAGCAAGCCCTCTAAAATCGTCAAAGCTGTATATTAAATACTAGTAAGTGCCCGCTACCTTTTACACCAAAAAGTCTTTAAAATCGTTCATTTTTTAAGTTTAGCGAGGAGGATATTAGTAAAACCATTGCCAATTCATTTGCCAAGCCTAATTCATCGTTTCTATATTCAATTTCAGAATTTCAGCTCAATCCCTTCATCCAATACCAAATTTAGTAACATTTAGTGCCCATATCCAAAACCATGTACATATCTTTATTCTAGATACCAACAGTGATCCAAAATTAGTACTATTTTGCACTTTTATAGTACATTTATTCAAAACCAATTCAATATATCAACACCAGATACCAGCAGACCTCTTTAATATCAAATTTCAAGATTTCATCCCTATCCCTTCACCCAATACCAAATTTAGTAACATTCAGAAATTTTTGAACAATTATAGTACGCATTTTCAAAAAAATTTCCATATCTCAACCTCAGATACCAACATCAGTGACCTTAATATCAAATTTTAGGTTTTTTATTATTTAATTTCCCCCATTACCAAATGTAGTACCATTTAGCACAATTATGGTACGCATATCCAAAGTCAGTTCCTTCTCTAAACCAGAGACACCAACTCTGACATCCATAACAAATATTAGGATTTCAATACCAATATAGTACCATTTAGTACTTTTCCTGCACATATTCAAACATAACACCAACAGGAACCACCATACGAAATTTCAAAATTCCAGCTTTATCCGTTCGCTTTAAACCAAACTGTTCCAAATTTAACATCATTTAATACAGTCCTATACTTAGTACACATTCAAAACCTCCTTCATATATAAAACCTACTTTCCAACTTTGATTCTGATATCAAATTTCAAGTTTTTAGCTCTATAAGTTTACATAATAAGAAATCGTATAATTTTAGACATTCATTAACATTTTAGAGCTTTTCGTAACCTTAAAGTTCGAATTTTTAAGAACCCTTTGGTACATCTATCCTCTTGCTGGCTTCGTTTGTCTAAAGTGCTACATTTTTTGTCCTTTTCGTACCCTTTTAGTACGAATTTCCAAAAACTCAGCCTTACCACACGCCTGCGCACCAAGACTAACCCTCATGCTAAATTTGAAAATTCTAGCTTCAGCCATTTCGTCTGGCCATGATTCTAGATAAGTCAATCAGTCAGTCAGTTATTTCACTACTCTTTACATACCCTCAGCCATATGGCTACAGGGGGTATATCAAAATAACGGCTTTAGACCCTAGGTCTCTTTGGACTAAATCCGTTTCAGGACATTTGGAGTCGATCTCCGTCCGTCCGTCTGTTTGGCTGGTGACACGATAACTCTCGACGAGAAAATCCGATTTGATCCAAATTTGGTACATCGTAATATTATTGTCAAACTTAGATAGAGTTCGGAAATGGGCAATATCGATCCTCTCCTTCTGGTACCTTCCCCACAAAAGGTCGAAATTTTCAAAGAAAATATTTTAATAATAATATTTTGTGACAGGTGCGAAAATGGACAATATCGGTTCACTCCATCAAATACCTTCCCCATAAATGGTCAAAATTTTGAATTACAACTCTTATAAAATGTGATGAAAGAGTCTGATTATCTTCAAATATCCCAATATTATTTTTAATCCAAGGTCTGGTATGAAGATGGAATACATAGGTCCACTCCTTTTGGTACCTCCCCCACAAAGGGTCAAACTTTTAAATATCCATAAAGCTTATAGAAAGCGAAATTAACATCCGATTCCATTCAGACTTGGCATATCGCACTAGATCTGTTATAAAGATGGTAGAGATCGGACTATACTTTCCCCACAAAGGCGAATAGCCAAAACTATTATAAAATCCAAAATAAGCATCCTGTTCTCTTCATATTTCACACGTCCCATTATTTCTACTAACGCTAACCTGTTGTGCAGATGGGATATATCTGCAAACCTCTTCTGGTACCGCACCCACAAATTTCAATACATTTTTCTGTCATAACTTGCGAAACAAATCAGCGATTATTTACCACTTAATATTTCTTTCAAGCAGAAACCTGAGTTGAATATGGAATTTATGATTTCGAATAAATTTGGATATAAATGTTAAATTTTCTTTTCATGTTGCCCATACCAAAATTTTTATCTGTATTAGATAGAGTATGAAAATGGAAATGAAAAATGACTATATCTGGCAACTCATGCACATTTCAACATTTTTTAAAAATTATCACACATCCCACATGAAGTAGAAGTAGTAACCAACGTAGTTTAGAACTGGCACGTCACAATATTTATATCATATTTATTTAGGTCCGATATGAAATGGTCAATATTGGTCCATTCCTTCGGAACCTACTCCATAGAAGGTCAACAATTTGAATAATCATATAAGTCAAAATATATTTAAACAATGGAAACCGACAGATACCTTTTAACTTGTTACAATTTCACTTTGATAGAGTTTACAATAATACTGGAAGTAATAGATAGAAGTCAAAAAATCTCGGGAAATATGATTTGCAAAATCAACGTTGATAGAGGTCAGAAAAAACATGGAAGTTTTGCTAAAAAAAAAAAAATTCTTTACAAAACTACGTTAATAACGCTCAGAATAGTCCAGAAAACGTTCATTACGAATTCCCCAGAAAGTATTATTTTAAAATTCACGTGGATACAGTTGAAGCAACTTTACGAATTCTATTCTTCACAAAACCAGGTTCATGGAACTTAGAATGGAACACAAAATTTTCTTTTCACAAATCCATGCTTTTAGAGCTCAGAAATACTATTTACTAGAGTTAAACAAAGCCATTGAAAAAAACAATTTTAAAAGAGCTCGGCTAGGCTCTAAAATATATTCAAAAAATTCACATCAAAAAAATCTTAGGATTGCTCCTGAAACATTTTTAAAAATCTGTGTTGGTAAGCTCTGATATAGTCCTAAAATTCCAAACTGATTGAGCTATATATGGGCTAAAATATAATTTATAACCAACTTGGATTTTAGGGCCCAAGCTAGCATTTTTTAATCCAAATGTTTCTCAAAAGTCCTAAAAAATATTTTGAAGAAAAGACGTTGGAAAAACTCAAAATAGCCCAGGAATATTCTTAAAACAAACACTTCAATATCGACTAAAAAAATATTCTAACTCTTCCATTTCTTCCATTACAGAAAAGTTGATACCCACATTCATGCCGCCTCGTGTATGAATCAAAAACATTTACTGCGTTTCATTAAAAAGACTTTGAAAAATAATGCCAATGAAGTGGTGACGGTGACCAAGGGACAGCAAATGACATTGGCCCAAGTATTTCAGTCCATGAATTTGACAACCTATGACTTAACTGTCGATATGTTGGATGTACATGCCGATCGTAATACCTTCCATCGTTTCGATAAGTTCAATGCCAAATATAATCCAATTGGTGAGTCACGTTTGCGTGAGGTATTCCTGAAGACGGATAACTATTTGAATGGCAAATATTTTGCGCAAATTATAAGGGTGAGGAAAAACAATTAAATTCGTAAATTTTATTAGTTTTTACAAATATATTTCGTTTGTGGTTTCCAGGAAGTGGCATTCGATTTGGAAGAATCTAAATATCAAAATGCTGAGCTACGTTTGTCAATCTATGGTAAATCTCGTGATGAATGGAAAAAATTGGCCAAATGGGCCATTGACTATAATGTCTATTCCACCAATATACGCTGGCTCATACAAATTCCACGTCTTTAGTAAGTTGTTGTTTTTTTTTATAAACTCTAACAAATTTGAAAGTAACGTTTTATTACTTCTTTTTTCCAGTGATATTTTCAAATCCAACAAATTGATGACATCGTTCCAAGATATTTTGGATAACATCTTCTTGCCATTGTTCGAGGCCACAGCCCAACCCAGCAAACACCCGGAGTTACATCGTTTCTTGCGTTATGTCATTGGTTTCGATTCGGTCGATGATGAATCGAAGCCAGAGAATCCCTTGTTTGATGGTGACATAACCACACCACCCAAATGGACAGATGATGAGAATCCTCCCTATGCATACTATATTTATTATATGTATGCCAATATGGCTGTTTTGAATCAGTTTAGAAAGTAAGTGACCAATCACACTGGAGATTGAATAAGTATTCCAAAAACATATTTTTATTATGACCCTTAAAAATAGACTTTATAAGTCCGCTATTATTAATCTGATGGTACTACGATTATTTGATTGCCTTAAAACCGTTCTTAACAAAGTACACGATTTTTGATCTGAAAATGTAGCAAATTAATGATTTTCTGTTTTAATGCTCTTGTCAAATATGTGTGAAGAATCCTCAATTTTAATTGTGAAAGTGGCTTTAAAAATTATAAATTTGAAGGTTCTTAATAAGCTAAAAAGCTAGATGTTTGGTCTGAAGGTCCTTGACAAATTCACGATTTCTATACTTAAAGTCCTTGAAAATATTCTTTAAAAAAATCCACGATTATTGGTCTGATGGTCTTTGAAAAATATTCTTTAAAAAAATCCACGATTATTGGTCTCATGGTCCTTGAAAAATATTCTTTAAAAAATCCACGCTTTTGGTTCTAATGGTCCTTGAAAAATATTCTTTAAAAAATCCAAGTTTTGGTTCTAATTGTCCTTGAAAAAATGTTCTTCAACAAATCCACGCTTTTGGTGCAAGTGGTTCTGGAAAAATATTCTTTAAAAAAATCCACGCTTTTGGTGCAAGTGGTTTTGGAAAAATATTCTTTAAAAAATCCACGCTTTTGGTGCAAGTGGTCCTGGAAAAATATTCTTTAAAAAATCCACGTTTATTGGTCTCATGGTCCTTGAAAAATATACTTTAAAAAATCCACGTTTTTGTTCTAATTGTCCTTGAAAAGTATTCTTTAAAAAATCCACGCTTATGGTTCTAATTGTCCTTGAAAAATATACTTTAAAAAATCCACGATTATTGGTCTGATGGTCCTTGAAAAATATTCTTTAAAAAATGCACGCTTATTGATGTGATGGTCCTTGAAAAATATTCATTAGAAAATCCACGCTCATTGATGTGATGATCCTTGAAAAATATTCTTCAAAAATCGACAATTTTTGTCCCTAAAGATATTCTTAAAAAATCTACGTTTATTGCACTGATGGTCTTAGAAAAATATTTTTGAAAGCTCTGAATATCCTTAAAATATTTGTTTTAAAAAATTAAAAAAAAATACCGTTTTGTCTTTGATTTTTAAATTTAATAAAACCTTAATTTTCCTTTCCAAGGGAACGTGGCCTAAATACCTTTGTCTTACGTCCCCATTGTGGTGAAGCTGGTCCGGTGCAACATTTGGTCTGTGGCTATCTAATGGCGGAGAATATCTCCCATGGCTTGTTGCTGCGTAAAGTACCTGTACTACAGTATTTATATTACTTATCTCAAATCGGTATTGCCATGTCGCCGCTGTCGAATAATTCACTTTTCCTTAACTATCATCGTAATCCATTGCCGGAGTATTTGGCACGTGGTCTCATTGTGTCGCTATCAACTGATGATCCCCTACAATTCCATTTCACCAAAGAACCCTTGATGGAAGAGTACAGTATTGCCGCACAGGTGTGGAAGTTGAGCTCATGCGATATGTGTGAATTGGCACGTAACAGTGTTCTGATGAGTGGTTTTCCACATAAGGTAAGGGGTGTTTCTTCTCCACTTTTATTATTTCGTGGAATAATAAAATTCCCTTTTTCAGATGAAACAACATTGGCTGGGACCCAACTATACCCGGGAGGGTGTTGCCGGCAACGATATAACACGCACTAATGTACCCGATATACGTGTGGCCTATCGTTCGGAGACCTTGCTCGATGAACTTTCCAATATATTTAAAGTTCATCAACATCCCCATATGGAGGAAAGTCCTTAGACACCAGGCACCACAACGGAAATCTACTGTGAATTATGAAGAATCAATAAATCTATTAACCAATCAACCAACCAACCAAAATTCATAGCCGAATATGTCTCTGAATTATTTGTTGTGTTACAAATGTGCGAATTTATATATGTAGCTTTTTTTGTATATAAAAAACACAAATTACAAATATCATCACCCAGCTATTGATGGTATTCAGTTATATCCATAAATTTTCTATCAAGATGAACAAGAAGAGGAAGAAGTTTCGAAATCATTGACTGCTGGACCATGCATATTTACTTAAAAAAATCACATCTTCTAAATTAATACATAAAATAATAATAATCATGTTTTCTTTTTTGTATTCTCGTTTCTAATTTGTTTTGTTAAGCCAATAACAATAAAAACAAAATTATATATTAACAAATTAAAAATAATGTGTTTGAGATCTATCATCAATAATTAAGGGAATTAGGAAAATGGATATTTTAAGCCAATATTTGAGAGCCTTTTCAGGTCATACAATATTCGATAAAAGATCCACGATTACAATTCTGAAGGATTTAAAACAATTCTTTAAACAAATCACGATTTTGTGTCCGAAGTTTTTTGAATTTGAATTCTTTAAAATAAAAGCATGTTCATAATTCTGAAAGACTTAAAAAAAATTAAAAAATTCAAGATTTCATGTCTGGAGGTTTTTAAAACATATTCTTTTGAAATTTCTCGATTTTGTTGTGTCTGACGGGATTCACGATTTTGGATCTGACAAGTTATAAAAAAATATCATTCAAAAAATTCAAGATTTTTTAAAAAAATATTCTTTAAAAAAATCAAGATTTAGGTCTGAAGTTTTAAAAATTCATCTCCAAAAATTCACGATTTTTAAAAAAATATTCTTTAAAAAATGGACGATTTTGGGTCTGACGGGTTAAAAAAAATCCTTTAAAGAATTTATGATTTTTAAAAAATATTTTTTAAAAAATACACGATTTTTTAAAAAATATAAAATAAAAAAAATATATATATATAATAAAAAAAATACTTTAAAAAAATCATGATTTTAAAAAGTATTTTTTAAAATATTCATGATTTTTAATAAAATATTCTTTAAAAAATTCACGATTTTGAGTCTGACGGGTTTTAAAAAATATTCTTCAAAAAAATCACGATTTAAAAAAAAATCCACGCCTTATGGTCCTTGAAAAATATTCTTCAAAAAATGCCTGTCTATTTTGCAACAACAAAATTCAGGATTTTAAAAAAATTCATGCCTATAATCCTTGAGAAATATTCTTCAAAAAATTCAGGATTTTAAAAAAATCCATGCCTATAATCCTTGATAAATATGCCTATAATACTTGAAAAATAATAATATAGGATTTAAAAAAAAAGGCACGCCTTATTGTCCTTGAAAAATATTCTTCAAAAAATTCAGGATTTTAAAAAAATCCACGCCTTATTGTCCTTGAAAAATATTCTTCAAAAAATTCAGGATTTTAAAAAATCCACGCCATATGGTACTTGAAAAATATTCTTCAAAAAATTCACGATTTTAAAAAAATCCATGCCTTATGGTCCTTAAAAAATCCACGCCTTATGGTCTGGTCCTTACAAAATTATTCTTTACAAAATCCATGCTTTAAAATGTATTCTTTAAAAAATGTGTCTTTTGGTCCTTGAAAAATATTGTTTAAAAAATCCACACCTTATGGTCTGGTCCTTAAAAATTATTCTTTAAAAAATCCATGCTTTATAGTCTGGTCCGTAAAAATATTCTTTAAAAAATTTGTCTTTTGGTCCTTGAAAAATATTGTTTAAAAAATTTGTCTTTCAAAATCCACTCTTATTTGTCTTTTGGTCCTTGAAAAATATTGTTTAAAAAATCCACGCTTATTTGTCTTTTGGTCACCGAAAAATATTGTTTAAAAAATCCACGCTTATTGATGTGATGGTCTTTGACAAATACTCTTTAAAGTATCAAAACTTATTTGTCTTTTGGTCTTTGAAAAATATTGTTTAAAAAATCCAAGGTTATTGATGTGATGGTCCTTAAAAATACTCTTTAAAGAATTAAAACTTATTTGTCTTTTGGTCCTTAAAAAAAATTGTTTAAAAAATCCACGCTTATTGGTTATGGTCCTTGAAAAATATTCTTCCAAAAATCCACGCTTATTGATGTGATGGTCCTTGAAAAATATTCTTTAGATTTTTTTACTTTTCCTTCAATAAAATGGGATTGATAATCCTTTCCATTAAAGAGAACACATAAAATCCACTCATTTGTTTTTTATATAATACATACATTTATTTAAAAAAAAATGTTTTATCATTTATATACAATTTACTTATATTAATAGTGTTTTTCATAAATAACAAAGAAAAAAGTTTGGGAGGGGGGAAAAGTATTAAAACACAATAAAATTGTAAGTACAATTGAATAAAACCTACGTTGACATTTTCAAATGTCAAATATTCGTATAAATGTGGATGATAATTTAAATATGATGTATACGTTCTAAATCTATATACTTGTATATGTTATTTTTTAAAATATATGTACTTGTAGGCTGCTTATACAGAATTTTGTAATTTGAAATCGTTTTTTTTTTGTTTTTGTGTTAACTCTATAAAATCGTACATACATTCATCCATACGTATATATCTGTTATACACAAATTCATAAAATTATACAATTGAACACATTCTAAACTAAGAGGGAAACATAAATTTAAAAAAATATTTGGCCAAAAGTAGTAGTAGTTTTTTCTTTTCTTTGGCAAAATTGTAAATTCACAAAGGTAGGTCACTGGAAACTGTTGTAATTGGATTTAGGACACCCAATATTTCAGATATTGTATTTTAATCTTATACACTTACCCTACCTTTATAACATTTACACTTTTGCCCCCAATGATTATCAATTTGAAATCCATTGAATGTAGTTTAAAACCAATAAAAAATGTATACTTGTTATGGAAGTCTTTTATGTTCTTTTTTATTCGCCTTTTCTCCGTTCATTTTATAACCAAGTTTGGATTTAGAAAGGCGAATTCATACCCAATTTGGTACCAAAATCTAAGCGAGCACGTCGTTGATATCTTGTGTTAACTCTGTAAGAACACGAAATTGAAACATTCAAGGAATATTTTATAAATCTTGTCTTGTTCTTACTTGATTTCTTGCCATTTGCAAATTTCCGATACAATCAGACTTATCAGGATGCCGCAGAATATGAAAACAATCGCCGGCCATGCTTCTGCGACATGATCGCGCAATTCTTCATCAAGAAGAATTTGTGTGACACTTACCAAGGCATGAAATACAAGAATACTACAGCAGCTGAGGGTCCAAATACTATTGCGAAAAGGATTCTTTTGCCACAACGAATGATCACGATGCACAAAGGAAGCGGATACCGTAACTGGAGGTAGAAAATATTAAATGATTTGAGGATAATTTTTTTTTTAATTATTTTATGAATATTTTTTTAGGACAAGATCTTAAAACCTCTAAATGTTTTTGAACTATAATCAAACAAGTGTCAGTAGCTTTTCCCGATAAATGTATACCCTCAGCCAATGTTCGATTATTCAAATATATATTTGACTTCTGCTATGATTATTCTAATTGTTAACCCTCTATGGAGTAGGTTTGGAAGGAATAGGTCATTATTGTCCATTTCGTATCGAACCTAAATAAATATGATAGAAATATTAAGACGTTGCAGTTTTGAACTATTATCGGGTGCTATTTTCTCGTTTTATAATCTTCATGGATATTCAAAAGTTTGACCCTTTGTGAGGGAGGTCCCAGAAGCAGTGTACCGATATATCCCATCTTCTCAGCAGACCTTGTATTAGTAAAAATTATGGGATGTGTGAAATATTAAGACAACCGGATTTAATAATCGTTTTGGTTATTCGAAACTTTGACCCTTTGTGGGAGGGGTACTAGAAGGAATGATCTGATCTCTACCATCTTTATATCATATCTCGTGTTTATAGAACTTTTGAGATGTACCATGAATATTCAGAATTGTTACCCTTTGTGAGGGGGGTACCAGAAACAGAGGACTGATATATCCCAATTTCACAGTTAATAAAAATATTGTGATGTGTGTAATTTGAAGAAAACCGGATGCTTATTTCGGATTTTATAATCATTTTGGTTATTCAAAACATTGACCCTTTGTGGGGGAGGTACCAGAAGGAATGGTCCTATCTCTACCACATCTTGCGTCTATCAAAATATTGAGATGTACCAAGTCTACCAACACCAGACCTTGGGTTAATAAAAATATTGGGATGTGTGAGACTTGAAGACAATCGGACTCTTACATAACATTTTATAAAAGTGTTTTAATTATTCAAAACTTTGACCCTTTGTATGGGAGGTACTTGATGGAGTGAATCGATATTGTCCATTTTTCCATCTGACTTAAAACTGATAAAAATATTAGGATTTGCAAAGTTGGGGCCAAATCGGATTATTCTTTCTCTCTCTCTCTCTCTCTCTCTCTCTCTCTCTCTGCAGAAAAATATGTTCCTTCAAAATTTCCATGTAACAGGTTTGGACCAAATCGGATACTCCCTTCGCGAGTTATCGTGCGCACCAACCAGCCAGACAGACAGACGGGCGTACGAACATTGCTAGATTGACTCCAAATGTCCTGAAACAGATTTGGTCCAAAGAGATCTAGGGTCTAAAACCGTTATTTCTATGAGGCACTTTTGGCCATATCAAATGATATACAACCTACCTCTATAGCTGAGGGTATAAAAAATCAAACCATTTTCAAAGACTATTACTGAGAAATTTTTAAAAATATTTTATGAAAAAACTGCCACGCTAAGGCTGGACACTGGCCCTATAAAACCTCACTTCACCCAAAAATTTCCATCCTCCACTTCAAGTACATACCAAAATGCAATAATACTCCCAATACTCCAAATATTCGGGCAATTTCCAAATTGATATGTTTATCGTCCTCCTCCACGTCCATAAATTTAAATGGATGATCCATAAATGCACAATAAGATAAAATCTACAAATAAAAGCGGAATATATTTCAACGTAAAAAACATTCATCTCCAATTGCCAACTCACCACTACCAGTACCGGTGCCAGAAATTTACAACCATAACACCACAGGACAAAACCAAAAACTCTCGTATCATATTCCGTTTGCTTTTTCCCCGTTGCACGATTCATTATTTTCGGATCCAAATCGATGTGGGCCAATGATAAGGAGATCAATGGAACTGGTATTGACATCAAGTAGATAACCATTAGTGGCGTCAGTATGGGTCTCAGACTCAAACAAGCACACAACATATTTATCAATGACAATGAGCCTGCACAGCATGCCCAAAATTGTATACAATTCCAGAGGCCAGAGGAGAAACGTCGTGACAACTCAATAATGGCCACAAGCGACAGGGGGTCTTCACGTTTCACCGATATCGAACAGGGCAGTGAATTGAGCATACGACTTAAATAGATCGGTGAAATGGTATTGCCCGGCGATTGCATGGGACGAGCATTGCTCGAACAACCACCATATTGTCCTGTCTCCAATAGTTCTTCAGCGGCACACTGTTCGTCCTGCAAAGTTTCCGCCGCTGTCGAATGTTTTATTGTCTTAGCTCTCAATTTATTGTTGACAATATTTGCCTCGGTATAGGCCTCAATATCCTGACATACTTGAGGATAGAGCGGTTCCACGCCTATACTACAATCGGCCTGCAAAAAGATCTCAGCATTGGAATTGCTGGCCGACGAGCCCAAACAAACCACAATTTCTCCATACGACTGCATTATTTCCAACATCTGCCTAGTGGCCTCAGCTGAACAGTCCGTGAAGAGGGAAACTTGCAGAGGAACATTGTCAACCTTCTCCAAGTGAGGCCGTATATTCTCTATGCCACGTGGCAATTTGGCACGATTTGACATGTCAAAATGTACCGGAGCACTTTGTTCGGTGCTCTCGGTTAGAATGCTTATGGAACGGCAATTCTCATCTAGTGCCGAGTCTTGCGATTGTCGCCGGCGATCGTTGAGGGATTCTCTTGAACCCGCCAAACTGGCATTCGAATAGGTTTCATGGTTTCCATTGGTGGCATTTAGTAAAGTGCAATCGTGATCCGATATGGCACCGGGCGCTGATGAGCTCAAAGTTTTGGAAGACTCTAAATTGGTTACCGGCGGCAAGAGACAATTCAAATCGGATGTTTCATCGTCCGTGGCCATATTACCTAAAACATTAGTTGCAATGGAATTATCATGAATGTCAGATGTGGCTGAGGTTGTTGTTGTTATGATGGCGGTGGTGGTTGTGGCTGAAGTCGGTATGAGGTCGTTCGCATCATGAGATACTACTGATGAGCGGTTATTGGATGTGGAATTGGTGGAGGTGGCGATAATGGTTGGATTATTACGATTTTTATTAGTAGAACAAGTGGTTGTAGTGGTGGTGGTGGTGTTGTTGGTTTTATGGGCTGTGGTGATTTTGGTGTTAACATGAGAACTCGGGGTAATGGGATTGTTCGTCGCAGTCGTAGTAGTAGTGGTGGTGTTGGTGAGATCTGTTTTACCCGCAATTTTGGGTGATTGCTGCGTGGCCGCCGCTGATTTCTCATCCGATTCACTCAACAATGAAATGTGACAATTCCAACCGGATTCCAGACCCATTTTCTCTGAGAAAACACGGGACCGCAATTCGTTCTCTTTACTGAAATGGACAAACCGTATACAGGCCCGTTCCAGACGTTCCACTAACTGTACTATATCTGTCTGAGCCTGATACTGCATTGTCACCATGCCTATGAATACTTGATGACACTGCATCTCAAAGCAACCCTCCACATCGGTAATGTCTTCCTCTTTGCTTTCCGAAAACAGCAGAGAATCTGTGCTAATGCTGTGACTCAATTTACCATGGCCACCTTCGAAATCACAATGCATTTTATCGACATGTTGCATGCGTAATTTAGATTCGGGCGGCAGTTCCAAATAGGCAATGCTACCATCATTATTGGGTCCGCCACTCAAGGCTCCATTGATGCCATGTCTTAGTGGGCGATATGCAAAGGCTGTACAGTAGGCAGTTAGGGCACTACGCTGATAGAAATCCAAGGCTCGTTTACGATCCTGTGGCGAGAGGGGACGCAAATCGATGCCATCCCAAAAATCGTCGCAACAATCCAAAATTATGTCGGCAGTGCCTTGGGTGAAGAGCGACAAATAGCCACCGGGGTTTTCACGCATAACCACCGACAGAGAGTGGGGAAAGGGTACCTTAACTTTTGAGGATAATTGCAATTGGCGGGCAAAACGTATATCGCGACGCACAACATCAGGTTGCTGAAATAGAGGTGACGTTAATGCGGATATACTATTCGGTGGGGGGAAAACAAACTACTTACTAAATGTCTATACGTGGCCAATTGGCCCTCCAAACTGAAACAGTCGGTGGCATGATCTGTAAAACCTATTTGTTTAGCCAATTCACAAAGGCATCGTCTAAACAGTTGGTTGATGATTAGTTTTGGAGTAAAATATAGAGATTAGTTTATATTTATAACCGAATTTTCTTTTTTTTCATTTTTTAATAGAAAACTGAAGGCATGAAGCTTTTTGTTACAAGAAAATCCAAAAAACAATCGACAGAGTACAAATGTTTTGAGAGAAAAACAAAATAAGTGATTGTGATTAAAAAGAAGAAGAACAACGCTAAGGACTATGGACTAGGTAGGTATGTTGTATAAATTAACAAAAATAAATGTGTGAGGCCAATTAATGTGCACGAATTAATGGTGGTGTGTTTTTGGTTGGAAGAGAATTTTTCAGAATAAAAAAAATAACAAATAAGGAACAAAAACGATGAAGAATGCTCTGAAATTCGAATCAGAGTTTGTAATGCAGATAGAAGTTAATAGAAGAAAACAAACTGAATTAGTTAATATCAAGAAGAAGAAGAAGTTAAGATCGATGAAAACTGAAATTGTTCGGAAAAGAAATTAATTAATTACATTGAAATTCGCATTTGAAAACTATGTTTAATGATCAGATGGAATTTATCCTACTGAATGTTCTGTGAACTGAAAAACGATGTTTAACATTGGGCGCCAGTATGTATTATTTTCTCTGTTCCAGAACCTTCAAGAATCTACCAGTTTTTCAATTTTTTTTTCGATATCATAAAGAGAATATCGGTTATCGCACCAAAAAATTTTCTTCTTGAAATTCTGGAACAGACCAACTGATTAACTTTGTTTCTTAGCAATCTGATGAATCCAGATAAAATCATAAAATACCTCCAACCCTGAACAAATGTACTTAAAGTCATGGCCTATATAAGGTCGGCCAGTAAGTCCATCGGACAACTCTGTTTGCTGTCAAAAAAAAAAATAATTGTGACTTGAAACAAGACCTACATAAAGTCAGCCTGGAAGGCTACTTTTTGACAAGGATTTGACAATCAAATTAGTTGTTTTTGTACTATTGTGATTTGGCTCTCTTTAAATTTTAAGTCACAATATTTTTTTTGACGGAAAACTTAGTTGTCAGATGGGCTTACTGGCCGATCTTATTGTTGTAGAAATTTTAAAGTTTTCTTTTTTAGATTTTTTTTTACATCCTCCGATCCGAACTCCACTGTGCAGCATTTAAATAATTAGAATATTGATCAAGAAGGATGTTTATTATTTCGACTTCACAGACTTCGTATTTTGTTAGTCCTAGCTCTCGACTTTTAGCAAGCTTATAGCCAGTTCTTAGCCAGCTTCAAGCACGTAGCAAATTCTAAACAAGTGTAACCCCATAGCAAGCTCCAAGCTTATAGTCAGTTCCAAAATTTTTGTACGCTTCCTTGCTAATAGTCAAATCTATGTTCCTCAACTGAACACTAAGCATCTAAATAACTTAAACCTAAAATAGAATAAATAAATCGTATTATGGAATACTCAATCTGGTTAATGATATACCCAATGTGTTTGAAACACTGACGATGTGGGAGATTCCTTCTTCATTTTATATCCTCAGCCATATAGCCATATGGCTATATATCATTTGATACGGCCAAAACGTGCCTCTTTGGACCAAATCCGTTTTAGGAAATTTGGAGTCGATCTAGCGATGACCGTCCGTTCATATGTCTGACTGGCTGATGCACACGATAACTCTTGAAGAGAATATCCGATTTGATCCAAACTTGGTTGATCGTAATTTTATTGTCAAACTTAGATCGAGTTCGAGATGGGCAATATTGGTCAATTCCTTCCGGTACTTCCCCCACAAAGGTAAAAATGTTCAAAGAAAATAATTTACTTTACAGAAAAAGAAAGATCCGATTTTGTACCAACTTTGCAAATCCTAATATTTGCATCAGTGCTAGGTCACGTGCGAAAATGGACAATATCGGTCCACTCCATCAAGTACCTCCCACACAAAGGGTCAAAATTTTGAATATTCATGAAACTCATAAAACACGAAATAAACATCCGATTTCATTCAGACTTAGCAAGTCTCAATATTTCTATCAACCCAAGATCTGCTATAAAGATGGTAGAGACCTTCTGGGACCTCCCCAGAAAGGTTCAACGTTTGGAATAACCAAAACGATCATAAAATCTGAAATAAGCATCCGGTTCTCTTCAAATTATACACATCACAATAATTTTACCAACCCAAGGTCTGGTGTGAAGATGGGATATATCGGTCCACTTCTTCGGGTACCTCCCTCACAAAGGGTCAACATTTTGAGTATCCATATAGCTCATAAAATACGAAATTAATATCCGATTCCGTTCAGACTTAGTACATCTCAATATTTCCATCAACACAAGATCTATTATAAAGATGGTAGAGATCGGACCTTTTCTTCTGGTACCTTTCCCACATAGGGTTCAAGATTTTGAAAAACAAAACACTCAAAGGAAGCGCAAAATGCATCAAACTCTCTTTTAAATTTCACACACCCAACTATTTTTGCTAACGCAGGATCTGTTGTGAAAATGATATATATCTGCCAACCCCATCTGATACCTCACCCACAAAATTTCCAATTATTATAATTTATCGGTCCAATAATTATAATTTATCGGAATTTTTGATTTCGCATAAAAGTGGATGTTCGATTTCCTTTAAATTTTGAACATACCAGTATTTTTATCTGTATTAGATGAAATATGAAAATGGAATACTTCGGCTATCTCACACATAATTCCACATTTTCCAAAAATCATCTAGATATGTGTGTTTCTCATGGGCTACATTGCCTTATTACTGGAAAACCCCCGAGTCCCAACATGGCACGTTGTGATATTTATATCAGTCTTAGCTCAGATACAAATTGGACAATATTGGCCAACTGCTTCGGAACCTTCCCCATAGAGGGTCAACAGTTTGACTAATCAAAACTTAAGGCTGAGGGTATACATCTATCGGCAAAACAGAATAATACTATTTTACTTGTTTTCTGCAGAACTTATGCAAGGAGCCCACCTAAATCCTCCAAATCGGTCAAAAACTGAGGAAATGGAAAGTTGACAATTTTAAGCCATTAGCTATGCCATCTCGTATCCATTGGGGTATACATCTGTCAGAACAAACCGACTGCTACTATTTTACTTGTTTTCTACATAACTTATGCAAAAAGCCTGTATCGATGGTTCCACCAAAATCGTTGAAAAAATAAGGAGGAGATAAGTTGACAACTTTAAGCCACCAGCCTTTCTATTTCCACATTTTAACTTATTTGTTTCAGAATTGTCTCAATTTAACCGGGCGACATAACTACGGATATTATTAACAACCAGAAAGCCTAACATAATCTGGAAGTCTTTAAATCTAATAAATTCTCATTCTTCTATTTCAAATATAAAATTAAACATTATTTAAAAAAAATGAAAACAACGATCTACATTAAAAACTAAAAAAAATATATACAAAATTCAAATTATGTTATGATATCAACACTACCAATAAATAAATGAATATGTCTTTGGCTGCAAAGAAAAACAAGTTCCTGTGAGGCACTTTCTTTTATCCAAAGATGCTATTCCAAAAAGATTACAAAATAAAGGAATTTACATCAAAAAATTAATTAAACATTACATTGAATTTTAAAATGGTGCTAAAAATTGTAAAAAATTACCATTGGCTTGAATTTAAAATTTTTACAAATTATTTGTATCTTTTTTCAAATAGGTTCACACTGCAAATTTTTAAAATATATCATCTCAAACAAAATTTGAATGTTGGAGTTTAAATTAAATTTTTTTCTAAAACTCCCAAAAATCAGCAAAACCACAATGGAAATTTGTAACTCAATTTTGAGTTAAAATTTTAGAAATTTGGAATTTTTCCTTGCCTTTAAGGGAGAAGCAAAAATGTAGAAGGATTATAGTCTCTTGATTAAAGGGAGTTTCTATAAATCCGTTTACTGTAACAAGGACCCAAATTGTCCAGGAAAATGCTCATTGGTACAAAAACCTTTAATTTTTTTTATTGATTACCATTTTAGGGATGAGAGAAAAACTGCAAACATCAATAATTTGGATACAATTATAGGAAATCTAACAGAAAAAGGCAAAAACACAAAAGGGTAATTCTTGTTATGTGTGTTTTTGTTTTGGGGATTGAAATCATGGTACAATAAAGACAACGTAGGATAAATTAGAGAAAGTTGCAATTGAAGAGGCCTACTTGTATGTCCAGAATTACAACATCAACAAGTAGTTTTGTATCAAATAAACAAAACCACTATGTTGGTTTGATTTTGAATAAATAAATTAAAGCGCAAAAACGGAATGAAATTTTGAAGATTTAATTTCAAAAACATGTTCTAAATATATGCCTATCTTGATTTCATTGTACCATGATGGAAACACAATTTTGTTGTAGAGTTTTCTCGGACCAAATATTTTAAATTTTCGGTAGGGGTTTTTGTTTGTGCGGGTAATAATTACACCGTCATAAAAATATAAATAATTAATCCATGTGCTGGGAATAGAAGTGCCAATTTGAAAATAAGTTTAAATAAATATACTTGAAAATGAAAGACAAAAGTACAACAAATAAAAAATGAAAATGAACAACATACCCATGCAAAAAGCTTTTCATACTGGACTCTACGAGCTCATACCGGTTAGTGACAGGAACTAAGTTTGAATCTAGCATAGCCACTGCTGTGACATGGCCACAAAATTGGGCATAATGGCCATGGGTCAATGGTGAGCAGGTATTTAAGAGTATGGCAAGACCTGGAAGAGACAAAGAGATATTCTTTCTTTATCAAAGCAAGCAAACTCCGGAAATACAATTATCATTAACCCGCCTTTTAACACAGCATAAGGTATTACAAACTACGACATTTTAAAATTTTGTTTAATATAACTTTTTAAATAATTCTGGTGTACTGTTTCAAAATCGTAGTTGTTTAAAAATCGACCAATGTTTGCTTGCATTTTGCATATATATAAATCATCTTACCCAAAGGCTTCAAGGACTTTATGTGATTTTTCCATTCTTGATCATCAAATTCCAAACGAAATGGACAGTGCTGATCATGGGTTAAATCCAAGACTTCAGCAACCACACCATTTCCCTTTTGCACTGCATTGTCGGCAATGTCACTTTCCGAATTAAATGAACTCTGACAACTTTTCTCCTCCATCTCATCTTCTTCGGTATCGTGTAGAAAAAATACCTTTTCGGCAGTTGGATTTGGCCATGACAAAATACCCTTTTTATCCACACAACAGAGGGCAGTTATAGAGCCTAAAACTTGTACCAAGTTTGCCGAACGTGGTAGCAATTCACTGTTACCACGCCACAATTGCAACCAATTGCGAAACACTTTTGAACGATGTAATGCCATATTTTCATAGTCAAATGCCGGCATATCGTCTTCTTCAAAGGATTTCTCCGAGTCTTTGCCCATAACCAGCTGTGGCGTCCTCAAGAAACACTGTAAACGTGCCACACCCCAATGATTCATAGAAATCCAGAGAAGAGGAAATATTAACGGCAATAGCGGTATGACTGCTGAGGCAGGCGAGTCAATCATTACATCCATCCAAGTTTCATGATAAAGGTTGTTGGAAGAATTTATTCCGAAACCATGTAGCCTCAGAATTCCGGCAAAAAAGGTAACAGCAATGGCACATATAAAACCCCATTGTTGTATGTATTTTGTAACCAGCTGCAAATAGGATTGTGATAACAATAGTCTCTTAAAAACTTTAATTTCTTGCTACCTTACCAAATATCTCTGCTGATTATAGATTGTCGGTGGTCGCTTGGAACAATTTTCCAAAATTAATCTTAAATTACTCAAGTACGGTGTCGATTCCAGGCAACACACCATATCCGGCAAGGGGGTACGTGCAATTGGCTTTAATGGTGGCGGCTCACTATGTGTAACGCCATAAATTTCATGAGCATTGAAGCTACGTTTTCCATTCAGTTCTGTACAGGGCCCAGGAGTAATGTGACCCGGTCGCATTACAATATAATCACCCTTCACCAACAAAGCCCATGGCAAATTGACAATAACTCCATCTCTGTAGGTCCATTGCAAGGACACACAGGGTGACAGGGGGCAACAATTGTGCGGATAATTACATGGCTGCCAATCGGCACACAGCTCAACTTCAGCCAAACGTATATCATTTAATATTAATCGCGTTTTGCGGTAAACCTCAGTGCGTCGCAGATTATTCTCTCGTATGACAACATATAAATCTAAAGATAAGATAGCTGCCAAACAAAACGCTGCTAAATATGACTGGGCGATAAGCAATACCACTGTCGTCAGAAGTGAGGTGGCAATTGATGACCATCCTAAGGGACTATCGTAACGTTTAACAAATGCCGATCGTATCTTGAGGTACCAGCTGGAATTATTAATAAGTGTTAATTAAAATGTCAATAAAAAAATGAGTTCTGTGCAAAACACTCACTTCTCTGCCTCCCACTTTTGCTCAAATTCCTTGAGAATTTTTTCAATTTCATCGTGTAAACGACCCAAGGCTACCTTTGTACTTAATCCATAGCCTTCCTTGATGTTATTTGGAGGCCCACCACCGTTCTCTTCGTTGTATGGTGGACCATCCCCCACAGTCTGATTGGTCTTTTGGTGTTTCGGCATTGCAAGCTTCACAGACTATCCAACTATTTTCCAACACCAATCATTTGTTTCCTGCTTTCGTTAACAATGTTTGGGGGTATAAATATTATAAATATTCGTTGTATTTATAAATTAAATCATTTTCCACCAAATGTCTCAAAAAAATTGAGAAAATGTATATATCCACTTTATTGGTTGTCCAAAGTGTATGCATAGCAAAGCAATTAGAATTACTTTACTTACCTGTTTTTTAAATAATCCTGTCCAATAAATGTGTCCAATCCAATTCCTTTCTTTATTAGTTCTATCCTATTGGTGTTCAGGAGTTGGTTGATTCTCGTCGTCTCTGCTCCAAGGTTGGTTGTTTGTTGCGAGCGTGTTAACCAAAATTAAAAACGTCCCAACGAAACGAATATGAAGGCCACAAAGGAATACCCGCTAAAAAATAAACAGAAAGCAAAGACTCGGAGTACTCTGCTGTTTACGAATGAGTGTGATGCATAACGTCCGAAATGGTTCTTTGTTTACGAAAAGGGAATGGTGAAATTCGAACAGCTGTGGGTGTTATATGGATATACAGGTCGCTTTTTAATAGAATCGATAGTGGATATTACGAAATATTCGTAATCGATAAATTAACGATTATTAAATAATGTGTCATATTTAGGTTGATTTTTGATTAAATAAATTAATTTTAATAGCATGTTTCCATTGGAAACCGAACAACGTTGTTCGCTCTCAGAATTAGGTACACGAATTAACCCGTTCATACGGCACGATTCGTAATTCATAGTAAAATAATTCCTTTTTTCAAAAATTTTGTTTCTTGATTTTAATGGGAATTTATACTAAAATACATTAAATTCTCACTAATATGAATAAAAGAAATGATTGTTTTTCTCCCAAATATGTATTATATCAATAATTTTATAATTTTCATTCACGTTTTCAACTTTTTGTGTAAATCTTGAAATTTTGAACATATTTTTGTGTTTTTCCATTTTTAAATTCTACTGGAGAGACACTTGTCCAACTTTTTTTCTGCCAATAGAAACATTTTGAAAATATTGCCTCTTTTGTTTGCAGTTTTCTGTGGAAATTTCATCTCGTGGACCAAATGCGTACTTCGAATGAGAGAGAAAACAAAATTTACTTTCGTTTGAATGTACATACGCCATTCAACATTGTAGTTTTCATACATAATTTTCAGTCTTCCCAAAAAAATTTAAAATTTCATTAAATTTTCCTATTTTTAATTTTTAAATGTCATAATTTATTTTTTCGATAAATGCTTTCATTTGTTAGGGATGGGACATATTTTTTCGTTGTTCTGAGAGTGATTTGATTTGAACAACGTACAAATATGAGTGTTCGCTCAGGAAATTTTGTGTGAAGAATTAGATAGTTTTTTCATAGTTAAGGGCCAAACATAGTTAAGGGCCAAACGAAAAGAGAGCGAATCAAGTGCAGTGGAAACGCCACATAAGCAAACAAGTTTAGATTTGTTCGAATTGGTCACCAAATTTTATATCAAGTTTAGATTTGTTCGAATTGGTCACCTATGGTACGAATTATGGCCGGCGATGCGCTTGTTTGAGGTGGTAAAAAACTCCAGACACAATAGTCGAACGGATTGGTATCCGGAGATTTTAGTGGTTTATGTGCGCTGGAAATGAAGTAAGGAACATTAATTTGCAACCATCGGAGGATACCAAATTCGGCAGTTCACCACTTTAGGCCAAGCGAAGCAACTCTTAATTTCTTTTGAGTCTATTTTCTTTCTGTTGCGATGTAAGTTCTTACACTTTTTGGAATTTCAATGGCTCGATCTCATATTTTTTAATATTTGACGAATGGAATATTGCGATATGTTCAGCTTACGAGTCATTTTTCGGCCACTGCGACGCGGGTTTCGATCATGTTGCTTCTTTACATTTCGAATCATTTCTGCTGATGTTGCTGTTTTCTTCCGTCCACTTCCTTGACGTCGGCCTACGCTACCAGTATCACGGTAACGAGCGATGGTACGAGACACAAAAAATCTATTTATGCCGGAGTGCTCTAACGATAGCCACTTGTGGTTTCGCAGCCAAATGTAAAGAAATCACACTCGAATTCCGCTTGAATTCCATGACGAATAACTTTTTTTTCTCAAATATTCTCACCAAAATGCTTTTTTACGCTTGTAAACAATATAATGAGCGGTAACTGGAATAATTTTAACAGCTGTCGGACGAGGGGCTAGAAATGACAACAGTCTGAAGTTAGTTGCAGTTTTTTCATCTCACTCCGTATTTAACAACATAGTTTTTTGTGTGAATATATATAAAACAAGTAAAAAACATTAAGTTCGGCCCGGCCGAACATTTAATACCGTCCACTTTGGGTGAAGAAAACATTTTTATTGTTGCAAAATAGTCAGGCTTTATCCCTTTATTGTTGTTTTTATAAAAATAACGTTTGTTTATTAGTGGAGAACGATGGTAATGTTTACCAGGGGGTAAGGCAGGGAATACCTAGGTTTCGGAAAGAGCCACCAATCCTCATCAGTTCCCTTGTATTTTGTCTGGGATATTCTCCCCAGAAGTTATTTTAAAAATAACTTCTATGAAAAAAAAACATTTTTACCCAAGTGACGAGATCATAAGCTCTATAGAAGAGGAACCAAAGAATTAAATAAAACTAAAATTCTTTTGGAAAGTCTTCTAAATCTTACAACAGCACTTATAAACATTTACATCTTTCTCCACTTGTTATGCTTTCGTTAAACCTGAAAATTTTTATAAGTGCGGTTGTAAGATTTAGAAGACTTGCCAAAAGAATTTTAGTTTTATTTAATTCTTTTGTTCCTCTTCTATAGAGCTTAAATGCTTTATATTTTCTTGGGCTAGAACATATAAAGCTCGTGATTTTATATTTTTCATCTTAAATAAATTTTCTCGGCGCTTTCATTTGTTGTGTAGTCTTCGAATGACAATTATTTAAGCAATTTTAAGAATAGGAAATATATTATGCTTTGAAATCAGATCTATATATAGGAAATTCCCCGAATATAGAAATAATTCAAAACTTTTGACCACTACTGTAGTGTTTGAATACTACTTCTCAAGAGAGCTAGAAAGCAGAGAGTCAAAAATCAAATTTTTTCACAGAACAATTTAATATTCACCACACACTGCACTCACCACTGACTCATTGAAAACAGTGTTAAGTGTTTGTCCACAGCTGCAAAGGCAAGGAAACAATGGCACATGGATGGCAGACGACAATATTTATGATGATGCTACGGTAAAGAGTAACAACTATAAATGAAACATAGCAGCGGTGCTCAAAACCGTGTTCTAGAACATGAACCGAAAAGAGAGATAATTTAAGAGAAAATTAAAATTCTGTTTTTCTTTATATTTTACGGTTCTATTAAATTGTTTTTAGACACGAATGTTTGCCAAATTAATTTAAAAAGCAAATGGATAAATAATATTTGTATAAATAATGACTTAACACAGTTTTGTTCTTGATTTAAATAAGCAAAGAGAAATTTGACTGAAAAGAGGTATTTTTTCTTGAGCACCCCTGAACATAGCAATCATGTGAGAGAGAGAGAGAGAGAGAGAGAGGAGAGTAAAATTAATGGAACATGGATATGAGAACGTGTGTTAGCAACAGGAACACACAAGAGCCAGAGAGTGTGGGAGAATAGTAATTTGTACAGAAGCATACAATTGTGTGGCAGCATAACAATCAACGAAGGATAGAGGATACACTGGTGACACAACAGTGGCCAGGCTGACACACAGACACACACTCTGCACTCACAGTTTGCTTACCTTTTTATGCTCTTCTTCCTTTACTCGTCGGGGTGTGTGTGAGTGTGTGTGTGTGTGGTTTCTGCTTTTTGTGTGTATTCGTACGCATAATCGAATCCTGTATTTTATCCTGTATATTGAGGGTGTGACCGGGTTAAATAGAAAAATTTTCATACTTTGTTCGCTGCTCAAAATGTAAAGTTCTGTTTTACGGTCGTCCTCGCCGTGTGATAGTAAAAATTCAAACCGCAGACAAGAAATTCTAAGTGTGTGTCCATTTGTGTGTGTTTTTGCGACCAAAAGAAAAATTGGAATAATTCGAAATATTTCCAATCAGAAGACAAATTGTGAATCAAAATCGACCTTTTTTCAAAATGAAATTTAGAAAAAAAAGATCAATTATCATTGAAATGTTGGCGATTTGTGAAAACATGAAAACCGTGTAACCGAGACGTGCCCATTAAAAAATGAAGAAAAATTTTCCAATTCGTATTGTAATTGAAAAATGCTATGATACATACATAACTAATGTGAAAAGAAAATCCTAAAACAGTGCAAAGGAAAACGCCATGAATTAATAGTGCAAAACCGCGGATATATGTGTGCCACAGATACGAATTCGCCTTACAGCTAGAGGCACCCACTTAGCCAACCAACCAGCAAGCAAGCAAGCAAGCCATTGAGCTAGCTACTCCATCCCACTCAAAGGAAAATCTACATACATTAGCTCAGCGAAATGGAACAAATCAGCAGCTACATTTGAACAATAGCAGAGCCAGGAAAAAAGGATACAACAAAACTTGTGTTTATGTGTGTACGTGTGTGTGTGTGAGACTTTCGTACTATTTTTCAATTATTTTAATAGAATTAAGCATAGTAGTCACTCCCTGTCTGCAGCAAAACTTTTCATCGTCATATCACATACTTTGTTATTTTTTCCCATATACAATCCCCTCGCCCCCTCAGCTCCTTAGTTAACTTCCTTTTGAGTATTTCCTTTCTTTGGTCTCCCCACACCCAAATTTTTTGCCAAAAAAAAATTGTTCCTGGTCTGGCTGGTCTCATTACAACTAAAGCAAAAAAAGAACAGAGGATTTTAATCACACCACCTTCACCGTCGCCGCCGCCACTACCACCATCACAGCTACCACCCATCATCTTCATTATCTTCCATCCAGCCATCCTCCATGCATGATGTCCTTGCAGTTCTTAAGTTGCAATAGTTTATACATCTCTACAGTTTCGATGTTGGTGGTTTGATACTTTCGTCTTTTGAAGTAACTCTGGCGCAGAGATGCCAGGTCAACAGAAATCCCAAATGTTGAGACTTCTCTTCCCTTTTTGTTAGCCTCTTTTTGGGAGAGTGTTTTTGATTCCCCGAAGGACTAACATAAAACTAAAACTACCCACCATCGGTATGCGGTGTGAGGTAGTCTGCAAAGTACTCAAACATCAATTGTTTCTCACATTTGTTCGTTTTCTTGTTGTCGTTCTCTCAAATACACAACATGGTTTGTGTATTTGTAAATATTACTAAAAAAATATCCTAATTTTAAGTTTGCATGTAAATGAGGTTTCAAAACATGTAAAGGGATGTTGAAATTTGCCGAATTTTAATTCAAATCGAAGTTGGTAGAATCAGGAGGATTACGTTTGGAAAAATTAGATGCCTTTTATACATTTGATTTGATCCTTTTAACTTCTCTTAGTCTAAATATACTTTTGAAGCTCTTCCTATTTTTTTTTTTAATTATTTTCCGAATTTTACGTTTCTAAGATGCAAAACTGTGTTGGCATATTTGTTCGGGATACCGTAGTATGTTGTTGTTACAAAATAGTCAGGATTAATCCCATTATTATTGTTTATATAAAAACAACGTTTGTTTATTAGTGAAGAGATATGGTAATGTTACCAGGGGCTAAGACAGGGAAAACCTAGGTCTCGGAAAGAGACACCATTCCTCATCAGTTCCCTTGTTTTTTGTCTGGGATATACTCCCCAAGAGAGATGGACCATCTGTGATTCCCACTAAATTAACCGAATGAAAGTATTTAAAAATCCCGTTAATGGCCGAAAAAATGTGATGGTGAATGAAAAACCTCGGAATATACTTACAAAAATTAATTTAAAAATTCCACGACTACGGTTCCACAAATACTAAAAACTTTGAAAATTCCTTAATGTTGTGGAAAAATCTTAAGAAAAATCAACAGTCATGGCTGTTTTTCCCTGACATTTGCTTAAAATTCCCAAATATAAAGAAGTCTTTAGAAATAAATTAAAATAACCTCAATTGTTGGCATGATCGTCATTAAAATTATTTTGAGAATTCTTTTAAATTAGAATTCTTAAAAAAATAAAATACTGTAAACTGTAAAAAAATAAAATAACTGTTTGAAAACTCCACGAATACTTCGAAAACATAACTCTTAAAAAAATAAAATAACTGTTTTTCTTTTAAAAATCCACGAATTCTTGAAATAATTCTTTGAAATCCGCGAATCTTTGAAAGAATTCTTTAAAATCCACGAAGCCTTGAACGAATTCTTGAAAATCCACAAATTCTTGAAAGAATTCTTAAAAATTCACGAATCTTTGAAAAAATTTTTAAAAATGCACGAATCCTTTAAATAATGTCTAAAAATTTACGAGTCTTTGATAAAAATTCTTAAAAATTTGCAAATATTAAAAAAAAAAACAATAAAAATCTGCGAATATTTGAAAAGAAAAAATTAAAAATCTGAGTACTTGATAAAAGTTTTTTAAAAATCTGTGAATTCTTGGAAAAAAAGTCCTTTAAAAAATCCACAAATCCTTGAAAAAAATCTTTAAAAAATCAAAGGATTTTTTTAAAAATCCACAAATCTTTCATTTGAAAATTTATTTTTTTATTTTAAAAATCCATCAAGGCTTATTTTTTATATCCTCGAATTAATACAAACATATCCTTGGAAATAGTGCTTGAAAAAAAGTTATTCAATAAAATCCACAAATCCTTAAAAAATCCACAAGTTTTTTGAAAAATCTTGTTAAACACCCACGAATCTTTTGAAAAATTGGGGACTCATTAACCAAACTTGTTATTTTTTTATATCCTCGATTTAATAAAACAGATCCTTGGAAAGAGTGCTTGAAAAAAACGTTGTTCAATAAAATCCAAGAATCCTTAACAAATTTCTGAAAAATCTTTTAAAAAATCCACAATCTCGTGCAAAACATGGGTCAAAAAGATATTTGTTCAACTTCAAAGGAACTAGAAAAAATGCAACTCTGTACTGGAGTCGTATTTTGAATTGATCATAAATATTTATGCAACAAGTTGTTTTTATTTATATTATAATTTTCCTCATTTTTCAAATGAGTCAAATGAATTTCTGGATTTCTTTCAAAAATGTTATTTAAAATTTTTCAATTCCATGGCCAAACTGTAACATCTTTTCTGCATTGCAATGTATGCTTCTTCCAATCATTGATTTTGAAAATATTTTATTTTTATTTTTTCAAAACAATAACACACACTTTAAAAAAAAATGCAGACAGCTGGAAGCTCTACGTTTTTACGTTTTTTTTGCACCGTGGAGAAAACTACAAAATATGAATGGAATATTGTTCGGACTTTATTTTATTCGGAACTTCATGGTAGAATTAAGAAGGATGTTTGAAAATTATTCATCTGACATCATCTCATTGTGTCAGAGATGGGAGCCTGTTTTCTAGACAGTGAAACATGACAAGGTAAATTACAGAAAATACCAACTTCAATACCAAGAGTTCAACGGACCTTAAATGCAAATAAGAAAACAATTTTAAGACCTATTTCATTTCATTCGAAAGCCAAAGTGATTTCCACAGAAGTCTGTGAGGGGCTTACTGCGAGGTTTTATAAAATTAATATACTCTTAATACTATTGTGGAAAGTATAAAAGCATTTTTTTGAAATATTCTAGTAAATTAAAATATTACCACACGGGAAGAGCAGATACCATTGTGGGCCTAACAAGTTGTTTGTTGATAGGTGACTTAACTTATTTGATTAGACAATTTATCTTTTATGGTAATATGTAGTAGCATTGGAATCTGAAGGTCTCTTTTCTAACATAAGTCGCCGGCTGGACATCGGTGTGAACAACCTTAAATTATAGGCCGAAATTGAACGAAGTCAAAATTAATGCCTTTTATACCAGAATAAAGTCCTCTTTTGTATTCTGACATTAAAACTCATGTATTATTGAAATCTACTCGAAGACAGTTTCAAGCATAGTACAATAAAAAGGTAAGGTAAAGCTACCAGCTGATTACAATTTTTTTCTAAGTGTGCCCGGCTCCAATTTTGTGTGTATTTATTGTTTTGAAAAATAAAAACAGAATATTTTCAAAATCAATGATTGGAAGGCGTGTAAATTGCGAGACGCGCATTGAAGCTATTAACCAGTTTAGCCATGAAATTGAAAGATTGGACAGTTTGGATCATATTTTTGAGAGTATACCAGGCGTTTCACTCATTTTTCGCATTTTAAAAAATGATGAAAAATATGAAAAAAAAAAAATGAAAACAACTTGTGGTATATAATTTTGAATGAGTCTGACAGGAAGCGGGCATAGCCTATGGGCTGTATTTCTGTAGTTTTATGAAGCTGTTCTACCTCCTTATTGTACCATGGTTTCAAGGTTTGTTATACTTAGACAAGTATTAGTATTATAGACACGTATTGACATAGGTACTGATTTTTCTTTTTTGACTCTTGCATGTGTTGTTGCTGTAAGGATGATGATGGTTGTGGCATATCTGCTAAGTATAAATGTGAGAATATATAAGAGGATTTTTTCTTGCATAAGACGTAAAAAAAGATTTTGAGTTGACTTAGTTTTATTTTGGTCCATAATTGAAATGTGGAAATACATTGTCGTTTTAAGAAAAGCCACCTGGTGACTTTGATACCTTTAGATACACAGGCTGGACTCACAACAAAATCATGTGGTACTCTAGTGGGTACAATTAGACTTTAGGATTTTTGTAATAAAAAGATTAAAGTCTCCATTTTTTTGCTATTATATTATCGCGTTAAAAATGATATTTTCAGAAAGAGTTTGGTCTGTAACTAAAGGTGTTTTTTAAGCCCGATAGAACTTGAAATTGTAAAAAATAACACAAAAAATTAAATTTTAATCAATTTTTTTTTTATTCGAAAGATCAATACATGACAATAACATTGAAAATGATTTCGGGCACATGGACACCGCGGCTGTTCTTGACGAAGTGCATTCTTGACGTCCAATTTGTGGCCACTTTTTCGAGCACTGCTGTTACGAACAATGCTGGTCTCCAAGGCGTCAATTTTTGCTGGTTTATCAGCATAAACCAGTGACTTTACGTAGCCTAACAGGAAATAATCGAGAGGTGTCAAATCGCACGACCTTGGAGGCCAATTGACAGGTCCACTTCTCGAAATCAACTTATCACCAAATTTTTGATTTCAATAAGTCGACGTTGCGCCATCCTGTTGAAACCATCCTGTCTCCGGATCAATGTCATCCATATTTGTTAACAAAAAATCATTGATCATGGTGCGTTAACGATCTCCATTGACCGTAACGCAAGCTCCGGCCTCATTTTTGAAGAAATAAGGTCCGATGATGCCACCAGTGTGAAAACCGCTCCATACGGTGCATTTTTCTGGATGTAATGGAGTATGTAGGGTCTCTTGTGGATTGGTCTCACTTCATATGCGGCAATTTTGCTTATTAACAAACCCGTTAAGCCAAAAATGCGCCTCATCGCTCAACACAATTTTGCGATAAAACAACGGGTCATT